CGGCAGACATCCTCGCTCGCTCGCGCCCCGTCCCGCCCTCGCCGCTCCAAGGCTTCCCCGCTTCCCTCCCCTCCTCCACTGACGCAGTCCGTGCTGCACCAGATCCTAACATGGCGGCGGCGAGGTGGTGAAGAGCGCGGCGGCGGCGGCGGCGAAAGGAGACTCCGGGCCGAGCGGGCAAGCGGCGGCGGCGGGCGGGCGGGGGAGTGGCTTGAGCCGGGCTCTCTCCGCTCGAGGGGCCGCGGCGTCGCCGCCGGCGAATATTTAAGGGCCTCGTGGTGAGGGGGGGAAAGGGAGCAATGGCGCGGGAGGCGAGAGGGCTCGGTCCTCTCTCTCCATTTGAATCTGCCTCGCGAGGGGCGGGCGGGCAGGCTCCCTCACGGCCGACTCGGCAGAGGGCTCGGCCGGCCCGAGTGTCGCCCCCTCAACAAGTCCCCGGGTGGGCCGTTGGGGAAGGCGGGGGGAAGACGAGAGGTAGTTTCTCGGCGGGGAATGACTTGAGGGAGAAGCGCGAGGCCTTGAATGTGGAGGGTCTTCCCGCGATTCAATCTCTGGGAGACGCGGAACGGGTTCGGGTGGGCAAACTTGGGAGGCCGCGCGGGAGGCGGTTTCGAGAACCGTTGCAAATAGTTATGAATGAAAGCGGGCACTCACGTCCCTGTAATTAAAGGGGGGCGGCGGAAAGGAAGGTGGCCTGGCAGTTGGCTTTAAAAATAATACCTTAGCTAGAGGCAAGAAGTCGCGGGATAAACGTGCACAGGAGCGGGGAGGGATAGGGGAGTAAGCCCATGGCCCAAAGGAAACATTTTGCACACTCCGAAGTGTGATAAAAAGCTACGTGATATTGTTGTGCCTATACTGATTCCTCCCCGCCCCCGTCCCCAAAATGCTGTATGCAGGTTGATAGTAGACAGGCTCCAGTAAAAAGCACAAAGTTTAAAAACAAAAACAAAAAAACCACCACAGGCTATTTGACAATGTAGGGGTCTTTTATTCGAGAACTGGATCACTTTGCTCGTCTCTGTTTGGAAAGAAGTTATGTGCAGTGTGACATGTATGCAATGGTAAAATAAAGGAGCAGATTAATGTGCTTTGCTTTCTGAAACTGCATTCTGAAATGTAAGGGGAACGGGCCTTTCCAGAAACATCTGTAAGGCTTGCTTTCTCACCAAGTTCCTTTATCAATGGAAGGAAGAAGTGTGTTGGGACTGATGCATTTCAAGTCATTCAAAATGATCACAGCCAAGTTTGCAGGTGACTCCCAAATTATTCAGGATGGTGAAGGCCACAGTAGACTCTCCGTATGTGGTGAAGGGGCAGCAAAATGGCAAATGAGTTTCAATGTAAGTGTAAAATCATGCACACCAAGGCAAAAGAAAGAAAGAAGAGATAAAAGTTGATGGTTGGGATCTTAATTGGTTGTGACTGACTGCTATAAGAGGTTTGTGGTAGTGGTGGACGGCTCACTGTAACAGAGGAAGCAGTGAAAAAAGGTAGGCTGTTGGACATTATTAGGAAAGGGACTAAAATATAAAATTCTGTTGCCATAGTGCAGGGGTTGGAAACCTAAGGCCCACGGGGGTCATTTAACCTGCCATGAGCTGCCCCTGAACCGAGCTGCCCACTCGGCGAGTCCTGGCATGCTGTACTAAACCAGCATGGCATGGGAACTCGCTTCCACAGTGCCGAAAATCACGTCTGCACAGATGCCGAAAAATGCGAGTGCGCGGGCGATCCGGCCCACGAAGGGATCTCCGCTGGAGTGAACCGGCCCAGGCTAGGTAAACCTTGCCAACCCCTGCCATAGTGCATATTCCAGCCATACTCCTCCGCCCGCTATCGCCGCCACCACCACAGCAGCCGCCGCCGCCCTTCCCTCACGGCGGTGACCCGGCCCTGAACGAGCAGGAGAAGGAGCTCAAGTGACGCTGCACGCTGACGTCACGGGGCTGTAATGGTGGTGTGCCTCGAGATTTTTTTCATCAAACAAGTGTGCCTTTGCCCAAAAAAGGTTGGGAAACACTGGCCTAGGCGGACCTTCAGTCTGATCAAGCAAGCAATCCTTAAAGACATTCTTTCATCCTCCTCTACCACCCACCCACAGATGCTCTCCATCCCTGAATACATACTCACTCAAAAGTTTTGTTAAAGTGTAACATTCCTATCAGGGCCCACACATCTTAGCAATACAGTAATGGTTTCACAGCAGTTGCCTTTCGGGAGCCCCTGCTGCTTGTTGGTCCCTCCTTTTTAACACACTGCCAATTCTGAATTCCACGGTCCTTGCTCGTCACAAGAAATGCCACAAAAAGGCCAGGGCATTTCACCTACACACAAACTGAATCACAGATCCTTGACAGGCTTCCGAGGAATCTGTCTGGGGGCGGCTAGGAGGCACGAGGAGCACCAAATCATCAGGCGAGCTCTTTCGGTAGCAAGTCACAGCTGTCAACATTTCCTTTCCTACAAACCCTTTTGCTGTGCAAACTGCAGCTTAACAAATACGTCTCCTCCATTAGCGCCGGGTCTCTTCAGCATCTTAGGAACGTTCCATGTACAGTAGAACCTCGGCTTACGTTACCCTCGGGGTAACGTAAACTTCGGGTTGCGAAAGCGGAAAACCCGGAAGTATTTTTCTGGGTTTCGCTGCTCATGCATGCACAAAAGCACTCTATGCACGGCGCACATGCGCAGAAGCACCCTGCCGCGCCATGTGCATGCGCAGAACAGGCACCTCTGGTTGTGGAAACCTCAGGATCCGACTGGAGCTCTGGAATGGATCCTGAAGGTACCAGTGTATAAAGGTAAAGGGACCCCTAACCATTAGGTCCTGTCGTGACCGACTTAGGGTTGCGGCGCTCATCTCGCTTTATTGGCCGAGGGAGCCGGTGTACAGCTCCCGGGTCATGTGGCTAGGCATGACTAAGCCGCTTCTGGCAAACCAGAGCAGCGCATGAAATGCCATTTACCTTCCCACCGGAGCGGTATCTATTTATCTACTTGCAACTTTGACGTGCTTTCAAACTGCTAGGTGGGCAGGAGCAGGGACCGAACAACGGGAGCTCACCCTGTCACAGGGATTCGAACCACCGACCTTCTGATTGGCAAGTCCTAGGCTCTGTGGTTTAACCCACAGCGCCACCACTGTATAGAGAGGTGTAATCCTATTGCTCAGTGGCAGAATGCTTGCTTTCCATGTAAGAAGTCCTAGTTTCAGTGCTCACCATCTCTGACAAAAGGTGGAGGGGAACCCCAAGTCTGAGGCCCTGAGAGCTGCTGCCTGTTCAGAGGCAAGTACTGAGCTGGATGGGCAAAAATAGCTTGACTCAATGTAAGGCAGCTTCCTAAGTTGGAGAATGAATAATTGTTTCACGTGTTAAAAAGAATAATGGCTACACACTTGTCAACCATATGGACTTGTAGCATACCCCGTAATACTTTTTGCCTTCCTGCTGAGAGTCACATTCCTATGGTGATCATGGGGGAGGAATTCAAGTCAGGTTGCATTTAAAGAACAAATAGGCCCATTCCAAAACAACACATGAAGCAAAATACAGCCACCCAGGGAAATTCGCAATTCTCCTGTGCAGTTCTCCAGCCATGCAATGCATACCAAAATGATAAATTGTGCCTAAAAGGTATATACTAGTGAAAATAACATACAAAAATATGACAGGCTACGGTTAGAGGGTTGGGGTTAGGCCTTCCAGATATTGCTGCACAACAATTCCCATAATCCCTGCCCATTGACAGTCCTACTGGGGCTGATGGGGGCTGTAGTCCTGCAAGTTCTGGAGGGTCCTACAGTCCTCATGCATGGTCTACACTGGCCATGAATCTCACAGTCCTGATCCAGCTGAGACCCCATATCTGCAACTTTTAGGGAAAGGAAAATGCACTGGCAAATCGCCTCCTCGATCTGTGAACTGGCTCTGAATGACAGGCACTTCAGTTTAACCCTGACCCTCTCAATAGAAAATGAAGATGTCTTGGCAGTATGCTGCCTTCTTTCCCTTTGAGTTTATCGCTCTTGAGGGCTATATAAATTGTAATGAGGGAGAATATGCCCCTCCAGCTCATCATGCAAACTGTGTCCACCCTGCTGTGTAGTGCCCTTCAGCCCTGTAGATGTAATGGAAACTGTAAGGCCTAGGAACCGAGGAAGCCGTCTTGTACAATGTCAGACCTGTTTATCTATCTAGCTCTCCAGGTGTTTTTTGGACTACAACTCCCATCATCCCTGACCACTGGCCCCACTAGCTAGGGATGATGGGAGTTGTAGTCCAAAAACAGCTGGAGACCCAAGTTTGGAAAGCCGTGGTCTACACTGGCTGTGGGTTCCCTGGGGTTTCAGAAAGGGTTCTCTCCTAGCCCTACCTAGAGATGCTGGGGACCTTCTGCACCCAGGGCAGATGCCATGCCAATGAGTGACAACCTTTCCCCTCTTCCCTGCCTCCATCCTATGAAACTGCAAGCCTTTGTCAGAAGAGTTAACCCTTTATAAGGTAAACCAAAATGGCAAGACCCTACTTGTGGGGGGGTGGGGTGGCACTAAGACATCTGGTGGGATGCCCTGGACACAAAAAAATCCACTGGGTTCATTTATCATTTTTCTTCCCCCTGCCCCTTTTTGCGGTTAGGAAACAATAGCTGTGTCCCATAGCCCTGTACAGAATTACTGAAAGAAAGTCATGTGACAGTCGGAGGGTGTGTTTTCAATTATTTGCACTTGAAGCTTTCTGCCGGGGCCGCAAAAGACAAACAGCCTTCTGAGGGAGTCTGCTGCTGCTTTGTTGTAAGTCCCTTTTAACATTTCATTTCTTAGAATGGTTCTATATGCTTCTCTCCTGTTCCCGCTGCAATAACCCCAGGCTCTGCTAGACGAAGTTATAAGAAAGGGGGAACCTACCAATGGGATAGCCCAAGACACATCGGATCCTTCTCCTTTTATTATGGGAAAAGCTCAAAAGAAGAAGAAGAAGAAGAAGAAGAAGAAGAAGAAGAAGAAGAAGAAGAAGAAGAGAGTGCTGAACCTTCTCGGCTTCTCATCAGAGTGGATGAAAGAAGTCGAACTACGCTGCTCGTGCCAAACGGCACAGAAACCCTCGTGATCTCTACAGCAAGGAAGAAATCTGGCATTTCCTGCCTTTTCATTAAGAGCAATACTCTCCAGTTCGGTTTTGCAATTGCGCCAAACAGTTTTTATTATATTCGTAAATGCTCTGTTTGGTCATCCCAAATGAAGTGTAAACAGAATGGACGCTGTTCCTTGCAAGCACATTTGTTTACATAAAGAACAAAAAAAAAGTTAGGATAATTTAGCACAAAACAGAGGAAGGGAGGTTAGAAGCGTGTGTGTGCGTGTGTGTGTGTGCGTGTGTAGAAGTGAGACCAGCCAGCCAAGCTGTTAAACATTTGATTTGGATTACAAAAACAACGCAAGACAACTTTGTATCTGGAGCGCACACAGGAAACAGAAGAAAAATCCTTAAGGAGGAGGGTGTGCTTCATCAGGGCATGTTGGCTACACCGACTTATGACTGCATTGGATTTGGCAGGTGGGCAAGTGTCTACAAAATAATTCTCCATACGCTAGTTCACAAAACTTGTGGGGCATTTGTATTATTCTTTTCTGCATGGTCGATCGTGACAGTGAATCTTATTCCTTCACCTAGCAGCAAAAAAAGGAGGAGGAAAAACTTAAGAAAGTTTCAGATCCACTCAGCCACATCAGGTAAACCTTCTTTCAGGTAGGAGAGCCACCAAAAAGAAGAAAAAGAGGGGGAAAGAGGACATGATTTTTCATGTGTTATATTTAAATGTATAAAGGCACATTTAGAAATACTGTAATTTAGATAGATATACTGTCAGTTAGGGATTTTTCCAGTCTTAAATTCAATTCTCCACATTTCCACACCAGTTTGCACATTGCTTTTTAAACAAGTCCTCACGAAAATGCAAAAGCATCTTATTGCGAATTTCTCCCAAAAGACAATTTTTTTGTATGCAATTTGGCAAAATATATACAGTTTGACAAAGCGTTTCATTTATGCAATGCACTTTTGTATGTCATTTTCACCAATGCATGCATTTCTATGCACACTGTATCCAAATACGTACATTTTTGTACACATTACTTGGCTGGAGACCTGAATTGCAAAATTCAGAAAAGTGTGAGTTTTCAAAGATGGCTGTATTTGGTTCATGCAATATTCTGGACAGGGCTAATGAGGGTAAGTTTGCCTTTAAATGCAAACTGAATTGAAGTCCCCCCATCCCTGAATATATTACATGTCACCACAGTGAAAAAGACTATGACCAGATGACCCGGGCATTTGCTCAGGCTGCTATCCTGGTGCTAACTGGGGATAGGCAATTCTATTGCTCCCAATGCTCTTGTTTCTTTATCTTTAAACCAGACTTGGGTTGGTTGTTGTTTAGTCGTTTAGTCGTGTCCGACTCTTTGTGACCCCATGGACCAGAGCACGCCAGGCACTCCTGTCTTCCACTGCCTCCCGCAGTTTGGTCAAACTCATGCTAGTAGCTTCGAGAACACTGTCCAACAATCTCGTCCTCTGTTGTCCCCTTCTCCTTGTGCCCTCCATCTTTCTCAACATCAGGGTCTTTTCCAGGGAGTCTTCTCTTCTCATGAGGTGGCCAAAGTATCTGAGCCTCAGCTTCACGATCTGTCCTTCTAGTGAGAACTCAGGGCTGATTTCCTTCAGAATGGATAGGTTTGATCTTCTTGCAGTCCATGGGACTCTCAAGAGTCTCCTCCAGCACCTCAAATGGTAACTTGGTCACATGACCGCCTTAGTTTTAAGCTCAGCACACACACGTGTGGAAATGTAGGCAGATGTATTATGTTGAACTCTGGGTCAGTGCTCATGGGTCAAAATTTAAAGCACTTCGGTCTACCATAAAAACACTTATTCAGCATTGGCCTAGGAAATCCATCTTATCTATCCCCCCTTGCGCTCTTTTGATCCCTGCTTGTGCAGCTTCGACCTGTGCCTTATTAATCCTTTCCCCGAATGCATTCCTTCCAGGAAAACGAACATTTATCAGAAGGTGGTCTCAAATTCCTTTCTTCACTTATTGAGATTTTCCTTTCCAAGGCGATAGATCATGCTTAAGGGAAGCAGCTGGGCTGTTTTCAACGCCAGGCTGGTTTCTGCTGTAATTGCTTCTGTTGTGGTTGCTGTTGTGGCTCTGATTTATGACAGGGTTAGTCCATTTCCATGTACAGCACGAACCCTTTTAGCCAAGGATGAGCAGGTCCTTGATTACCTGGGGTTCACAGATGAGGCAAAGAGGGGCTAGACACTGCTCCGCAAATTTGATTCTCCTCTGTTATCTTTCTCAAGAAAAAAGAAAGAAACAAGCAAAGCCCAGGAGGGAAAACCCCAATAGCCAAAACTGTGGGTGCATGCTTTAATTCTCTTAGAGCACACCAAAGCCCCAGAAGATCGTATTGGCACCATAATTTGGTTGCTTGAGGATTTCAGATGTTTAAATAAAGGTAAAGTGGCCCCTGACCATTAGGTCCAGTCATGACCGACTCTGGGGTTGCGGCGCTCATCTCGCTTTATTAGTTGAGGGAGCCAGCGTACAGCTTCTGGGTCATGTGGCCAGCATGACTAAGCCGCTTCTGGTGAACCAGAGCAGCATACGGAAACGCCATTTACCTTCCTGCCGGAGCGGTACCTATTTATCTACTTGCACTTTGTGCTTTCAAACTGCTAGGTTGGCAGGAGCTGGGACCAAACAACGGGAGCTCACCCCGTCACGGGGATTCAAACCGCCGACCTTCTGATCAGCAAGTCCTAGGCTCTGTGGTTTAACCCACAGCGCCACCCACGTCCCTTCAGGATGAGAACAGAAATTGTGCTCCGGTGGCGCGGTGGCAGCAGGAGGCCCCATTAGCTAAAGTGGTGTTTCAGGTTAAGAACAGTTTCAGGTTAAGAACGGACCTCCAGAATGAATCAAGTACATAACCCAAGGTACCACTGTATACAGTCATACCTTGGAAGTTGAAGGGAATCCATTCCGGAAGTCCGTTTGACTTCCAAAGCGTTCAAAAACCAAAGCGTGGCTTCTGATTGGCTGCAGGAATTGGAATCCATGGAAGTCCCATCGGACTTTCAGCTTCCAAAAGAACGTTTAAAAACTGGAACAGTCAGTTCCAGGTTTCGATCATTCGGGAGCCAAAACGTTTGAGAACTAGCCTGTTTGAAAACCAAGGTACGACTGTACAGCTTAGTTTTCTTTGGTTCAGAAATGAAATAGTTTAATACAGAATACATGTATCAAGGAAGACCTTATTCACCTCTTCCTTGCTAGGCCTCAGCACCAATCATTCCCTGCTATGAAAATCCCATATGCAGAGCCAACATCCATATCCTCCTTTCTAGGGTCACAATATGTGCAGACGACTTGAGGTTTTAAAGGAAAAACAGCCAGAGCTAGTCTGGTCACACATCATGATTCATCAGTACATTAGCAGAAAAGGAATGAAAAGAAGAGGATACTGAGGAGATTCTGTTTGGTGCACTTCCCAAAATTATATGCAAACCAAAACACAGCTACCCTTTAAAATTCGCAGTTCTCTGAATGTTGTGATGGAGCTTTCCGATTAAAGAAATGTGTACAAAAATGTGTATATTAGAGAGAGGTTACATAAAAAGGGCCTTCTTAGTGGCTGCTCCCAGGTTGTGGAACTCCTTGTTGGTGCAAAACATATATAGAAATGAGAATTCCTGGATACCAGGATCCAAGTTTGGGACAAGTATTCTTTGGTGAGAGCACTGCAGCAGAGATTTAGTCACAAAATGTGTAACAAAGTGTAGAAATATAAGCTGCTAGACCTTTAAAATATGCCCTTCCAAGTAAGTGAGTCCCACTTCCCCTAGCATAGAAGACAACACGTTTGATAAGTTAAAATTTGGTTTACTTACAAACTCTTCAAAGGCCTGCTTCATGTGCTTTCCCATATATCTGTCTGAAAAGTTGCACAGGCAGTAAAACTAAGCTTAGTTACAAAGTGGTGAAAGTTCCTAGATTATTGATATAGGAACTCAAAAGTATATGGTGAGAGCCATGCTGTTGAGCTGGAGCAACCAGCTCAAACCTCTTAACACACTGAACTTCTCAGGTAGACTCTGAGGAAAACAATAGTCTTGTTTGCCTATTTCCTCCTAAAGTAAGGGAAGTGACATTGCTAGCCGGGCAGGACAGCTTACTCTATGGTATTAACTCCTTCATGTATTAATTAGACTGAAGTATGTTGATTATGTGAGGCTGGTTATCCCACACTCCCTTCCATGGGAGGCTGGCTTCGTTTTTTGGTTCCAACAGTCCTTTGGCAGGTCTTCTGAGAGTGGGTGTTGTAGTGTGTGGGTGCTTTTAAATGGTTTTGAGTGCTTCCAGTGTTACTGAAAATGACATTCATAAATGTGTATATTATGAGAAATGCACACTAAAAAGCTGGTGGGTTTTCACAAGGAATTCTAAGATTGGGAAAATGAGATTCTCAGAGATACAGAAAAGGAAAGATTCATCCATCCCTGGTAAGGATAATCAGATCAGTCTATTTCTGGTCTGTGTCAGTTACATGAGCATTCATTCATAAATTTGGTTTCGTTTTCACATCATTTTGTGCCTGCATTTTTGGTACACATTTTAACTTGAAATAGTCATCCTAAAATATGTAGTTTGCTGAGCCAAAAATTATATTCTAAAATCTGGAGCAACACAAAAGTGAAAGGAAACTGCCTTCTGGGGAAACTAATTCTTGGTTGGTCTACTTACAAAACCCCAGACCTAACAAAATCCTCAAAAACATCTGTATGATGCATATTTTTGGCTTTTAAACATGTTTTCTTTGCATAATTTAATTCCACAAGGCGTAAATGTATATGCTATCCAATGAGATCTTTTTTAAAGCACTACCCTTAAGATGTTAGAAGAGGAAATCATCTTTGTTGAGATATGTTACTACAATAGTTAACCATATGCCAATATAGATAACAGCTAGTGTGCCATGAGAAATAAAATTTAAATCAAACTATTACAAGCTACCATAACTCTGAAGAACTACCCACAAGTGGAAGCTGCCCGTTAGCTCTTTTTGAAACTCCATGCTGTCCTCTTGCTTCCTTTCAATCTGCTGAGGATGGCCAGTTCTGCCTCATATGAGTTTGGTGCAATGGACTTATCCCATTATTCCTCATAGAGACACATAGACCTAACTTAAGAGGAGTTCATCCCCTGCTTTTCTGCATGAGTTATCTTTTTGCACCTGAAACAGTGACTCACACAGAACACAGTGGGGCAGACTTCTCTGAAGGTAGGCAATTCCTACTCTCAAAATACTCTTAAAAAGGGGTGAAGTGAAACCAGGTAGCCGATAATAGCAAGCATCCTGGTCTTTGTGGAACTACCAGCAGTGGTATAGCATGGATTGCCAGTGCCCGGGACAAGGCAAGTATTGCACCCTCTAAATATTGCACTGCCAGCCAGAGTGGACAGCACTGGGCTAGATGGGCAAAAACAGTCTGACCAGGGATCAATCAATTTCCTAAGCATGCCCAAATTCCCCGATGAGGAAAGGCTACAACATGGCAGGGGGTGGGGAGTAGTTTAGAGAAAAGGCAAGTAAGACGGCGTTACTGGGGTGGTTGGAAAAAGAGACTGTGTGTGCAGTTCCATTCCTCTCCATAGGCAGCTGAATATCAGAACAGGACTACAATCACAGCCAATCCTAGACTTCTGCACATCAATGCATTTATTTGGATACAGTTTCTTGACTACCTCTGTCCCCATCTGGCCAGCCGCCAGCCCAGAGCTTCCTTTCCTTAAGCAGCTACAGGTGGCTTCAGGCTGGACAGATAATCAAGCTACTTGCCTTCCCCAAAGGGAAAAAAGATACATGGATCCTATATCCGGCGTACCTGTATTACAGATGTTTGGAAACATGTGCTTGTCACATGCCCACTTTGATTTTTGGGTGTATTTTTGAGGAGGAAGGGGCACAGGAGGATTGCCAAAACTGAAGAGGACCGATGCAAAATATTTGTTTTGAGTCTTCCATGGTGCTTAGAGACAGAAATAGAAAGAATATAAAGCCAAGAGATGAAGGCGGCGAAGGGGGGGGTGAGGGGAGACATGCCTAGCACTTCTCTGCAAAATACAGAATTAGCAAGTCATGAGGCATCACGTTGCTGTGCCTGAACTGAAGGCCTGTGTCTTAAAAAAAATAAAAATCGCAAATTTGAAACGGTGTGTTATTTTGTGGTGGGGTGGGGAAGAAGAGATGAAACAGCAGTATCTACAAGCCAGCTTTCTCTCCTCTGTATCTCTCTCCTCCAGCAGGATGTTCAGCTGCAATAATTGGGACAAGCCCCTGTAATAGCCATGGCAAATTGACGGGAAGCAGCAGATTACTGGGTGGGCGAAGATGGAGCGACAGAACAGCGCAAAGAGTCGGAAGTCGAAAACCCTGCGCTCCATTTCACGCTCCCTCATCCTCTGCAATGGCAAGAACAGCGACGACGGATCGAGCCCGGAGGAGAAGTACCCCAATCCCTTCGAAACGCAGACCAACTGGGGTCAAGAGGAAAGCGACTACTGCCCTCGGCTTCAATTAACGTGTGCATCGTCAAGCGAGGACAGCCCTCCTGATCCTTTTATGATCACCAGCATGATGCAACTGAGGGCTGCGGCCAGCGATGGCTGCAAGAATATGAAGAGAAAGTTCTTCATCAAGGTAGGAGGTCACACCTGACCACTGGATGTTTGGTGTTCCCTAAGATCTGGGTAAGAGTTACCCCCCCCCAGTTGAATATGGGTTTTCTCCTGATCAGAGGTTTGGGAGACAAACCCCAGAACCATGTCCCTTTCCCAAGGCAGCATGAATTTCCGTGCCAAGGGTATTACCCCCCCTACTGTGTGGCTTGCTCATCCAATGTGCTCTCCGTTCTGCAGCACAGCAGGCTCATCCTACCAGGAATACAGAGAGCATTGCTATGATACAAAGCTGTCATTACAGCGCACACAGCAGGGGTAAGCTGGGGTCTTAAAAGGCACCTCTCATCAGCAAAATGTGGCTTAAAAGCTGTTAGTTGGAGGGAAATGCTCGGAGACAGGTCCTCCGACTTGTGTTGCAAACGTTATGGCTGCCCCTTAGGGATGTCACATATATACAGAGAGAGCCCCAGGCCGAAGGCTGGAAAGACAGGCAATAATCCTAATGCACTGGAAGGTATCACTATTCATATCTGTTTCTCTCACCTACTGTTATTCACTGGCAAAGGAGATTTTGAAGCAGTGCGAAAGCCTACATGGCTTGAAGTGGAGTGGATATAGGAATAACTGCATAGTTAGGGACAGCTCAGTCTGCAGAGCATGAGACTCTTAATCTCAGGGTTGTGGGTTTGAGTCCCATGTCAGACAAAGGATTCCTGTATCTCAGGGGTCAGACTAGATGATCCTTGTGGTCCTTTCCAACTACGAGATTCTATGATACTAGTACACAATGGCTGACATGCAATATAGCCTAGTACCGTATTTTTTCGCTCTATAAGACACACCAGACCACAAGACGCACCTAGTTTTTGGAGGAGGAAAACAAGAAAAAAATATATTCTGAATCTCAGAAGCCAGAACAGCAAGAGGGATCACTGAGCAGTGAAAGCAGCAATCCCTCTTGCTGTTCTGGCTTCTGGGATAGCTGCGCAGCCTGCATTCGCTCCATAAGACGCACACACATTTCCCCTTACTTTTTAGGAGGGGAAAAGTGAGTCTTATAGAGCAAAAAATACGTTATTTAAAAAGTATGAGATTTCACACTTTAAATATTGTCATGTTAATTTGCATAAAGAAAGGTCCATAAGCTAGCTCCCAGATTTCAAAACCAGTACGCACCACCACCACCATCAAGATACAACAGCATAAAAGTGAGCTGTAGAACTCAGGATGGGCGATTCTGTCAATTACATTACAGATTGGCACAATTCCACATCAGTTAGTGGGTGGTGTTTTGTTTTTTTAAGGTCTTCATGAAAATTAGACAGCGTTTTAGTGTGCATCTTTCCTTCTATATGCATTTTTGCAAAACCAAATTGCCTAAGATCATGCATATTGTTCATTATATTCACAAACTTACGCATCTTTATGCTCTCCCTTAATATATGCAATTTTGTACGTATGTTTTGGTTGGAGAACGATATTTTCCTGTAAACCTCTTTGAGGTATATATTGAGAAGTGGGATATAAACTTCTTAAATATATAAGAATAATTAAGTACATAGTAAAATATGGAGCTTCAGGGACGCGGGTGGTGCTGTGGGTAAAAGCCTCAGCGCCTAGGGCTTGCCGATCGAAAGGTCGACGGTTCGAATCCCCGCAGCGGGGTGCGCTCCCGTTGCTCGGTCCCAGCGCCTGCCAACCTAGCAGTTCGAAAGCACCCCCAGGTGCAAGTAGATAAATAGGGACCGCTTACTAGCGGGAAGGTAAACGGTGTTTCCATGTGCTGCACTGGCTCGCCAGATGCAGCTTTGTCACGCTGGCCACGTGACCCGGAAGTGTCTGCGGACAGCGCTGGCCCCCGGCCTCTTGAGTGAGATGGGCGCACAACCCTAGAGTCTGTCAAGACTGGCCCGTATGGGCAGGGGTACCTTTACCTTTTAAAATATGGAGCAATGCAAAGCTATTTGAAGAATAGCTGCATTTCAGTTTACATATTGTTTTGGGAAGTACAAATAAGGCTGGTTTGCATTAAAATGCAAGCCGTTTCAAAATTCTCTGCCCTCCTTAGGCAGAAGTAACAAATAAAAGACTGTGGGCTTTACATTTTCAAGCAAGCAGCAGGGGCCAAAAATATCTACCCATCTGCAAAAAGGGTGAAAGAAAACAATACTCTTCGGGTCAAATTCATGTTAGCAGAACCATTCAACAAGATGATAGGCAGGCAGAGATAATGGCATCTAACATCGCCTGTTTGCAGTACAAAACTGTATAAAAATGTTTTGATAAGAGATGATAGAGGAATGACTATGAAGGAACAAAAGTTGGTGTGTAGTGCTATTTAGTGTTTGATGCTGGAAAGCTTGTGAGAATTCATACCTTTGAAATATGACTTGTCCATAGAAGAAATAATAGAATTGTCGAGTTGGAAGGGACCCTGAGGATCATCTAATCCAGGGGTCTGCAACCTGCGGCTCCGGAGCCGCATGTGGCTCTTTTACACCTTTGCCGCGGCTCCGGGGCAGATACTAGCAAGGGGAGGAGGCGCATTGCGCGCCCCGACACTCCCCACTGTGGCGGGCGCTGTACTGGCTGTGACATCGCATGGGGGCGGTGTGTGCGTCCCGACATCACCTTCCCGCCCGCCCGCCACATTGTAAGGGGCATGTACGCTGGTCACTGTTTTGAAGGGGAGTGAAGAACACACACACACAAAAAGGTAACTTGTTAATTTAACGTTTATTTCTATGAGGAGGAGTAATTCTGAGGGGTCAAACAAAGAAATAATAATAAAAGTGACAAGTTATTTTTATAATGACGAGTTTTGCGGCTCCCAGGTTTTTTTCCTTCGGAAACGGGTCCAAGTGGCTCTTTTTGTCTTAAAGGTTGCAGACCCCTGGCCTAGTCCAACCCCCTGCAAAGCAGGAATATGCAGCTGTCTGGTACAACCTTGGCAGTATCAGCACCACTCTCTAAGCAACTAAACTGATCCATTTAACACTGCAGATTTTTTATTTTTATTTAAAGAGAAACACCAATAAAGCCATCATCACAAAAAAGTGCAACTAAGCAGAAAGAAATAAACTGCAGGTTTTAAAAAAGGAACAGTAATGTGTAAAAACTTTACACATCAGAGGCTGAAATTCTCCTACATATCAGCAATAATGTTTTTAGAACAAGGCCAGGCTCCTTCAGAGACTTTCCTGGGCCCAACTACCAACAGAAAGGGAACTAAAATGAAACGAACTGCTTTGCCGCCAGAGGGCACGTCAAAAATATTGAAATGTGCAGTTAAGTAACATCCCTAAAGGCCTATAAAGAATGTATGTCACAATACCGCAAAAGCCATCTTGGCTTTTTCTCCAAATCAAGTAGACCTCATTTGAGAGACAAAGTACTAACAAAAAAGCTCAACTTTATCAAGGACCACAGTACAGACACCCCACACTATCTGCATAGCCTCCAAATGTCCCAATTTTCCCAGAACAGTCCCAGAATTACAGAAGTTGTCCCAGTTTTTGGCTTGATCCCAGAATGTCCCGTTTGTCTGTTTAGGACGTCCCTATTTTCAATGGAGGAATGTTGGAGGGAATGTATCTGCTAAGATGCAGATTCAAAGATTGCATGGGATGGGGAATGTCTTCTGATTTGTATGAATACACCAGCACATCTATTTTTTAGGCTATCCAAATGTTATAGCTGGCCTCATGAGAAGCATCAGTTCTTACCTTAAATACCGTTCCAAATCTTCCAAACCAGGACAGCTGCATTTGGAAGCTCTGCATAGCCACGGGTACCGATGGGCTGGGAATTCAAGTCTCCAGGACTCCCAACTGCTCTGCTTTTGGAAAAGAATTCACCGTTAGCCATGTGATTGACGGAGGAGCTGCCCAGAGGTACTTCACATCTTCGCTTAAAGATGATGAATATGAATGTATTTGATTACTCATATTTCTAATTTACCTCTTCTAACCAAGGCTCAAAATAGGCAAAGGACATTAGCATAATATCACAATCCACAATTCTGGACTGAATAAATTCTATTATTGGAATTAATTATGCATGTATGTATCTATTTGCATGATTCATCACAGTGCACAGGCTGTGTGGAGGTTTGCAAACACTGATACTCAGAAATTGGAACATTGGTGAACATTGCATGACATCACAGCAGCTCAGCCAGAGCAGTATTTTAATAACACAACACATTAAGTGTTCTCACTTACAGGTTGTGTTGTTATGCCCCATTCCAGCATCACCTGGTTGTGGTGGGGGGTGAGGGGCGTTGTTTGGTAAGGGGCAAATGAACCTCTGTGCAGTCTCCAAATCTCTTAAGTTACCTGAGCTTCAGGGAACGAAGCAGACACAGGAAAGTGATTCCAGTTCCAAATAAATACAGTGCTGTGGGTTAAACCACAGAGCCTAGGACTTGCCAATCAGAAGGTCGGCGGTTCGAATCCCTGTGACGGGGTGAGCTCCCATTGCTTGGTCCCTGCTCCTGCCAACCTAGCAGTTCAAAAGCACGTCAAAGTGCAAGTAGATAAATAGGTACCACTCTGGCGGGAAGGTAAACGAGATGAGTGCCACAACTCTGGCGGGAAGGTAAGCAGTGTTTCCGTGTGCTGCTCTGGTTCTCCAGAAGCGGCTTAGTCATGCTGGCCACATGACCCGGAAGCTGTACTCTGGCTCCTTTGGCCAATAAAGCAAGATGAGCGCCGCAACCCCAAAGTCGGCCACGACTGGACCTAATGGTCAGGGGTCCCTTTACTTTTACCTTGGTTCTCAAATGGCTTAGTTGTCGAACAAATTGGCTCCCGAGCGCTGCAAACCCGGAAGTGAGTGTTCCTGTTTGCAAATGTTTTTCCTGGAAGCCGAACGTCCGACGCGACGTCTGCTTGAGCGCAGGAAGCTCCTGCAGCCAATCGAAAGCCGCACCTTGCTTTTCAAATGGTTTCGGGAGTCGGACGGACTCCCAGAACAGATTAAGTTCGAGAACCAAGGTACCACTGTATTTTCTAACATCAATTATACTGTGTGTCTGATGCTGTTTTTAAAGGGATGGCCGTCTAAGCCCTGGCGACGAACTTCTCACTGTCAACGGACAATCTCTTAAGGAGCTCTCCAGCAAAGAAGCGGAATCGCTCATCCGGTCGGCAAAAGGCTTGGTAAACTTAGTCATTGCTAACAAGGTACGTGGGAGAGACCTCCTGGTAGGAGGACCACAGGTCTGCAGGTGTGTGTGTGTGGGGGGGGAGACTTTGGCAAGATGCCCTACATGACTCCTCCTTCCTCTTTTCTTTTTTGTCTCTGCCCACTTGCTCCTTCAGCCAAAGGGGAGGCAAGTAGCACTTGTTATTCCTTTTTTTTTTCCAGAGGGGAAAAAGCAGGCCAGTGCCTAGCAATAGCCATAGCAGCACCGAGTGATCTCTAGTGATTACTGGTGTGGGGCCATTTCCTAATAAGAGGCCCTGATATGTCCTCCTGGAAGGACTCTGATGGCATGAACATAAAGTCACACATTCTCATAGCAAATAATTTCAAGGTTTCCAGGAACAGTAGCTTTCAGTCTTCAAAGGTCTGGGTGTAAACCAGAATGTTTTGGTTTTTTTTAAAAAAAATCCTCCTGGAAGTCAGTTATGATGGAGACAGACACACTTCACCAGGTAGGCCATTCCCCAAAGAGGGGAGCCACCACTTACAAGGCCCTGTTGCAAGTCTCTGTTGTAAATGTAAGAGGAAATTCATCAGACGGCAGCATCAGCCACAAGGCATTGCTATGCGTGGCAGGGAACAACTGGACAGCATCACAAACAGGACCCAAGGTGGTTGGTATTAGGGAAGGTGTGGCCTGTGGGTTAAACCACAGAGCCTAGGACTTGCCGATCAGAAGGTCGGCGGTTCGAATCCCCGTGACGGGGTGAGCTCCCGTTGCACGGTCCCTGCTCTTGCCAACCTAGCAGTTCGAAAGCATGTCAAAGTGCAAGTAGATAAATAGTTACCACTCCGACGGGAAGGTAAACGGCGTTTCCGTGCGCTGCTCTGGTTCACCAGAAGCAGCTTAGTCATGCTGGCCACATGACCCGGAAGCTGTAAGCCGGCTCCCTCGGCCAATAAAGCGAGATGAGTGCCACAACCCCAGAGTCGTCCGCGACTGGAGCTAACGGTCAGGGGTCCCTTTACCTTACCTTTACACATATTCAACCTCCACCCCTGTGCCTTTAATACCTGCACGGAAGATAGAAATTAAAGAGGCGTGCTTTTCCTCTCCGTGGCATGGCCACACTGGGGGAAAAGTATCTTCTCTTGAATTTCTGCCTGTCCCAGAGCTCTTAGTGGCACAGCTGCCACACTAACAAAAAGTAACCATCGAGAACACTGCAGGAAAGAAAGGTGATTATCAGTCTGGATAGCTCGGTTGATTAGATCAGTGTTTTTCAACCACTGTTCTGCGGCACACTAGTGTGCCGCGAGATGTTGCCTGGTGTGCCGTGGGAAAAATTCGAAAGAATTTGCCCACTAGGCGGGCGCCGGACTGTGTCCACCCTATTTTCCATCCGTCCTGGGTGGGGATCAGATCGGATGGGATCGGATGAGATCGGACAGGCGGTCCGCTCTCATCCGATGCCCCATAGAGAGCAGCGTGGCTCTGACATCTCCCTCTCCGCAGACAGTGGTGGTGTGCCTCGTGATTTTTTCATGAAACAAGTGTGCCTTTGCCCAAAAAAGGTTGAAAAACACTGGATTAGATCATGGTGCTGATAACACCAAGGTTGCAACTCTGATCCCCGTATGGGACAGCTCTGTCTTCCTGCATTGCAGGGGGTTGGACTAGATGATCCTCAGGGTCCCCTTCCACCTCTACAGTTCTAGGATTCTGTGCTTTTCTACATTAATGCCATTCCCCCAAAGTGTTCAATAAGGGGAAGATACCCAGCAACGGCGTTTGAGTAACTTAACAAAAGCGCCCTCTGCTGTGGGGAAAAGGGAAGTCGCCATTCAACATTAAATCTTGATGGCAGGTTGCGATGGGATTTTCTGAAAATCCAGATGTTGAAAACAGGAGCAAGTATTCCAAGGGCATTCCTGGCAGGGGGTGGGTGGGGTGGGGTACATGGCTGCCCTAACAGCAATGTCTGTCAATGTGGGGTTTGTGGAATCCAGGCAGGCATTCAGCACTGCCAGTCAGTGTACATAATGCTTGGCTATATAGACTTAATGGTAAAAGGCAGATTCCTACCTTCCTATGTTCATACTGAAAAGAGCCACCCTTCTCCTGTTTTCTGGCCTGCCACACAGCTGTTAAAACTAAGCTTTCTCTGAGCTATTAGTCAAAGATTCGTTAGCCCTAATTAAAAATTATTTAACATTGGATTCATTATCCAAGTCTGCTAAAGTTTTCAAGAATCTCTTGCATGGGTATGACAAATGGCCCCGCCATTTTGGTGAGGGGTATTATTGGTGTTGCACGCCAAGACAGGAGAGAGCTCCAGCATATTCAGGCAAGCTCAGAGTAAATATTCTCCCCTTAAAAGATTAAGCTAGTCTTTTTCTCCATAAATCTTCCCACTCCAGGAATCCTCAGTTTGTTCTCGCAAAGAACAGCCTGTTAAACAGGACGTACACAACGGCTCCATTCTACAGACAAAAGCAAAATGTCAGAGGACTCGCAGCAATTCAGCCAGTAAGTTCTAGGGCAATTTATATTTTAACACTTAATGCTGTTATTTCCTCCTCCTCCTCCCCACATCCATTTTCCTTTTGTGTCGTGCCTTCTTAGATTGTAAGCTCTCTCTTTTAGTGATCGACAAACCTCTCTGGGAGCCTTCTTTAGCTGAAGATCAGCATTTTTAAAATCTATCTGAATTCAAAGAACTATATAGCACTTTAGGATATCGAAAGCAATCCATGTATGTTATCTTGGTAATCTGGCAAACAACACCGTAAGGCAGAGCAGAATAATTGTTGCCTTGTTGAACTCGGTGGTTGTTTTTAAAAACTGCCTAAGTACATCAGCTGGAGATGTATTTTATGAGGCAACAAGTAACCTGAAAAATAATAACGATAATAATAATAATAGACGTTGCCATGGTGATATTGCAGATGGGTGTGCGAGGAGGAAGGACTGAGGCTGAAGATGCCCATGGTGGGCAAGGCCAGAGTCCATAGTGGGTGGAGCAATTAAGGGAAATTTTAACTTTGTACAGTAAGCTAGCTTCTACACACACAAAAACCTCCACAGGCGCCAGGTGGTACCCAAGATTGGGGTGGTGGTGCGCATTGCACATGTGTGATGTCACACACACCTTCCAATGCCGTGTAGGCCGGGGTAGCCTTCTGCTAGGCCACACTGGTCTCTAATGGTGTCAGGAGATGCTGTGGAGACTGTCACAGCCTGGCATGAGGCCTAGCGGAAGGCTGCACCAGCCAGCTTGGTGTCAGGAGTAGCTGGTGCGCAGGCCAGTGTGACTTTGCAGCAGGCCATGCCAGTCCTCACAGCATAATAATAATAATTATTTATTATTTATACCCCGCCCATCTGGCTGAGTCTCCCCAGCCACTCTGGGCAGCTCCCAATCAAATGTCAAAAAACAGTACAGCATTAAATATTAAAAACTTCCCTGAACAGGGCTGCCTTCAGATGTCTTTTAAAGATAGGATAACTGCTTATTTCCTTCACATCTGAAGGGAGGGTGTTCCACAGGGTGGGCGCCACTACCGAGAAGGCCCTCTGTCTGGTTCCCTGTAACCTCACTTCTCGCAATGAGGGAACCGCCAGAAGGCCCTCGGTGCTGGATCTCAGTGTCCGGGCTGAACGATGGGGGAGGAGACGCTCCTTCAGGTATACAGGACCGAGGCATCTCCCAACATTGCACAGGCCAGCACAACCTTCTATTGATGCTGCGCCGTGCTCAGCTCGGCAGTTTGGCCTCCTCCGCCCCTCAATATTCAGGGGGCTGAGCCCCCCACTAAGGAATATTGAGGGGACTGCACACCTCTCCATCTTCCAAATCTGCCTTGAAAATGTTGATTTGGAAACACCTGCAGTGCTGCAGTTTATCTTCTGGTCCTTGTGATGCACTCCTGATTGTCTCATACCTTCTCCCTTCTCTTGTGTGTTATTGTTAACAGGTGTGAGTCCATACTGGATAGGGGAAATTGACAGCCCCATGGCAAAGAAATCAGCCTCCCGATACAGACAGTCCCATTCTCTTTACAGCAACAGGAAGTCTCTCTCTCAGCAGCTGGACACCTCAGCAGGAAGAGCCTCTGTAAATGTAAGAGGAAATCCATCAGATGGCAGCAGCAACAAGGCAGAGCTATGCTTAGCAGGGAACAGCTGGTATACAGCTTTAAGGCTACCAATTTCCCTCCTGTCAAGGGAACAGTCACCTATTTTCCATCATGGCTACAAGAGCATAGGGCTGTTGCTCCCAAACTGTGTGTGCCAGGGCATTAGTTTATTAACTAATAAAAGGGATGCGGGTGGCGCTGTGGCCTAAACCACTGAGCCTCTTGAGCTTGCCGATCAGAAGGTCGGCAGTTCGAATCCCCGCGACGGACTGAGTTCCTGTTGCTCTGTCTCAGCTCCTTCCAACCTAGCAGTTCCAAAGCACGCCAGTGCAAGTAGATAAATAGGTACTGCTGTGGCGGGAAGGTAAATGGCGTTTCCATGCATTCTGGCTTCTGTCACAGTGTCCTGTTGCACCAAAAGCAGTTTAGTCATGCTGGCCACATGACCCAGAAAGCTGTCTGTGGACAAATGCCGGCTCCCTCAGCCTGAAAGCGAGATGAGTGCACAACCCCATAGTCGACTTTGACTGGACTTAACCGTCCAGGCGTCCTTTACCTTACCTTTACTTTATTAACTAATTAATGTCTCCAATGAACCCAAAGCCATCCATACATGGAGGAGGCTGCCAACAGCATCTCTAAGCATCCAGGCATTATCTCCTCAGTCTGGCTGAAAACTCGGTAGTAGAGCATATGCATCGTGGTGCATAAGGTTTCCAGTTCAAGCCACACTAGGTAGCACGAGGAAAGACTCTCTTGGTAGGAGATGGGGAATTTAAAGTTGTGGCCTCCAGATGTTCTCAATTATAACTCCTATCAGCTCCAGCCTGAATGACTAATTGTCAGTAATGATGGGAGCAGTGTTTAGAAACTCAAATAACTAATCTAGGCACCAATGACCCCCTTAAACCAGGGTTACAGTTCCCAAAACGGAATGCCTAATTGCCATTTCGGGGCCAGGCGGCTCAAAAATTGCATTTTCCAACACGCCTTTTTGGCTTGTGAAATTTGTTCCGATTGTGCGGAGCGGGTGCCACTACGGAGAAGGCCCTCTGCCTGGTTCCCTGTAACCTCACTTCTCACAGTGAGGGACTGCCAGAAGGCTCTCGGAGCTGGACCTCAGTGTTCATACTGTTTCGGAAAGTGTGAATTGAGTAGGTTCACGTTAAATTCAAACTAAACCCTATTTGTATCCTACCCCTAGTCATAACATCCATGGTCTCCTGTTTTTTCAAGTGGCATTGACCTGTTGCTTTTTCGTTGAACATGCAGCCCCTTTCCAGGTCTTCGCGGTCGCTGAGTACAGCCCAGCTGATGCATGCGACGTGTGGTCTTCAGCCTCTGTAATCTCCAATATTGTTTTTAATGAAAGGCCAAGGGAAGGTGAGATGCTAATTTTAATCATGTGTCTCCTCTGCTTGGGCAGGAATGGTTTCCAAGAGGCTGCTAAGCAATACTGCTTAGACTTAGGAGGGATGTAGGAAGGCATCATTAACCGTTCTCAAATTCCCATCAGCCCCATTCAGCAAGGCCCAACACATTTTTCAGTAAGACTGGAATTGCATTCTCAGTTATCTCAGAGTAATTACACTGAACTCAGTGGAACTCATGGCATATCTGTGAAATTGTAGGTTTTGTCTATCAGTTCATAAGTTCTCTCCCATCTGTATTTTTGAGGGTTGGGTGGCTAGCATTGCCATACGGAATTTCCCAGACATAGCTGGGATTTGGTAAAATCTGGATGCATGGTAACCCATGTCGGAAGTGCAGATTTTTGGCGAATTTCCATAAAAATAGTTGAAAAACTTCGATTTTTGACCTCAAAAACAACTTTGGGCAAAGCTAAAGAAAGCGACACGGGTGGCGCTGTGGGTTAAACCACAGAGCCTAGGACTTGCCGATCAGAAGGTTGGCGGTTCGAATCCCCGCAATGGGGTGAGCTCCCGTTGCTCGGTCCCTGCTCCTGCCAACCTGGCAGTTCGAAATTATGCCAGTGCAAGTAGAGAAATAGGTACCGCTCCAGCGGGAAGGTAAACGGCATTTCCATGTGCTGCTCTGGTTTGCCAGAAGTGGCTTGTCATGCTGGCCACATGACCGGAAACTGTACGCCAGCTCCCTTGGCCAATAAAGCGAGATGAGCACTGCAACCCCAGAGTCGGTCCACGACTGGACCTAATGGTCAGGGGTCCCTTTACCTTTACCTTTAAAGAAAGCTCAAGAACTTTGGCCAAAAATTAAAATAGAATAATGGCAAGACCTTTGTAATGTGCAGCCGTTTACATTTAACTGGGAAAGCCTTTTAAAACCACTTCATCAACTAAACATGTTCCCATGCATCCTCCCCTTAGGGCCTTGGTTTCAGCATTGTGGGTGGCAAAGACAGTATTTATGGCCCCATTGGCATATATGTGAAGACTATCTTTCCTGGAGGAGCTGCCGCTGCAGATGGAAGGCTGCAAGAAGGTGGGAGAACTTTGCTTCTGTATATGTAGAACGGCCTTTTCTTTTTATAACAAGTGGGGTAACTGTGAAATAGAATAAATACATCCTGTTGTGCATTGCATCTTCTTTGCAGTATGTTTGTTTGTGTGCGCACACTCATTTATACTGAGTGGAAACTGAAAATACACAATGGTTTTCAATCTTCGTTTGTGACCCACAACCTTTGTTCAGGTTGCGTCATTGCCTTGCTATGGACTTCAGTTGGTCGCCTTTGAAGGGCCTGGTGGGACTTTTTCCACTTGGCAAATTGGCACCGGCCACTTGGTTTTCACCTACCTCATAGCAATCGTCACAACTTTGTAAGGTTTGGCGGTTAGGCATTGGAATAGCGTTGTGTGGGGGAGGTGAGGTGTGGCCATTACCCGCTCAGGGTTATTCCATGCTCGGGGTATTCCGTTAAAGGAATCCAGGGGTGGTGGATCTCGTCCAAAGCCTGGGGAGGGGCTAGGGCCATGCCATGATCCCAGCAGGAACCCATGGGGTGCTTGAGTCGATCCACATTGGCAGGGCTCCCCCTACTGTGGTTTACCCTTACCAGACTCCCTGCAAGGCGGGCAGGAGTCAGATATAGTCTGTTGATGGCCAATGCCTAAGCAATACCGCTCACATTCTGTAACCAATAAAGTTGTAGCCTAAATTTTGCCCATATAACACCAACCTAAATTCTGTGTCCTTGTGTCTTTATTCTCATGGGGGTGGCGTGGGGCTTTGACACACAACAAGTGGGTAACTGTGAAATAGAATAAATAAATGTGTTTGTTTGTGAATAAATGTGTTTGTTTGTGTGCGTGCACACTCATTTACGGAGTGGAAAAGGAAAAGCAGGACATTCTGGGGTCAAATGTCAAGGTTTCAGGGAATTACAATCCCTGAACACCGTCTCTATTAAGTAATGGTGTTGCTCCAAGCCAAGTCCCACCCCCTCAGTCCCTCCTATTCTACACCACCCCTGCGCTGGCTAATCTGAGCTTTCTGCCTCTGAGCTTTCTGTTCTACTACTCTCAATGCACGCCTGGTTCTGGGCGAGGGGAGTCGGGAATGCTTTCGAGAGACACCGAGTCTGTCAGCTGTCCCTCCCCTGGTGCATCTTCTTCCTGCTGCTCTCTCAATATTTCCCAGCTTTTCCCCTCTGCAGCCTCTGAACTATGCCCTTCTGCAAACCACTCTTCTAAATCTATACTGTTCTCCTCTTCTCGTAAGGTGCAGGGAGGGGGGGGGCTCCCACCATTCCTCCTCAGTCCAGCCCCTGAGATCAAATCAAAAACTGGGACGGCTTCTGTAAATCCGGGACTTTCTCTGGAAAATAGGGACACCCGGAGGGTCTGTTTAAACCTTTGCTTTGTTATTACAGATCCTGGCTGGAGAGCCCTTTGGAAGCACTCCAAGCAAGAGCATCCCTGCTGGGCAAGAAGAATCTGCACAAGATCTCGATACGATCTGGTCTTTGGGGGCAAGGCGAAAAATTATATTATCGTATCAGCTATTGATTGGGCCTTTTTACTTTAGATGGACTGGGTGACTACCCTGCTAGATGCTGATTTATTTCCTTGGTGTTTCCACAGGGCTACCTCCAGTACTCGGTTTTATTCTACGGCTACTACGGACAGGCAAGGAAGATTGGGACAGCAGGCTACCGGCTGCCCCTTGCTTACTTCCTCGTCGGAATGGCCGTCTTTGCTTACAGCTTCATCATCCTCTTAAAGAAGTAATGCAGCTCTTTTGCTTAAGGCAGGAGTCGCCAATCTTTGGGGCTCAGGGCAGACATTTTTGAAATTCGAGAAAGCGCTGCGGTCACAAAATGGTTGCTACGGGCATGTGGGAGAGGACGGGCAAGTAGGGACTGGGCATCAGGTTCAGCGAATGCCTGAATCCCAAATCCAAAGACGGGCCAATTCAGGGTGGGATCCAGGCTTTGTCCAAGTCAGGTCACGGTTGCCCCGAGCTGGGCCACCCGAAGTGAGCCAGAGTTGTAAGGGGGCAGGGAGTTGGGCAGGGAAACAGAGGCAGACAGCCTCTGCAAAAAAACAAGCATGGGTTTGTTTGCAAGCAGGTTTTTCAGCCTTTGAGCAACTCACATTTATGCAACATCTCTACTGCTCTTATCCAGGATGGCTAAAAATTCAAGAATGAGCCTAGCAAGCGCTTCTGATGAAAATTACACATTTTGTTGGCGTGTCTTCTGTGCCTGGGATTATCTCATTGGCAACCCTGAGGCTGCAGAGAGCAAATCAGCTGCCATAGTTAACAGCATCAGGGTAAGCAACTGGTCTCTGTAGCCGGAAGAGATGCCTATCTGTGATTGTTGTGCATGAGGCAAATGTGTTACGGAGCGAATGCAAAGAGAAAAGAAAAATGCAATACATTAATGCTCCAAAGGTGCAATTCTTGTTAGTGTTTGAAAGTAACACTGTTCGGTGGTAATTGTTTGTAGATGCAGCTCTGCAAACAGCAGACAGAACCTCGAAGGGATCTGTGGAAAAAAACCAAAGATTCTATTTTTTGCCAAGGAAATAGATGACTTTAGAAGAATTAAGAGCTCTTCTTTTAATGGATTGCTAGCTACAGGGCATTGTGACCTGCCAATAAATCATAAAGACTTGCATTTCTAAAGAGAGAATAATAATCATCTAGTAGAATCTAAGTAGACATGGAAATAGCAGCACATGGTCACTCCTAAAACCTATTATTCTAAGAATTCAAATGGTCTGCCTCTCTTTTCTGAGTGGGGGTGGTAAAAACAACAAAAAGGGGTTGTGGACCCTAAAAACCTTGACTTGCACCCTAACAGTTCTCTAACACCTTAGAGCAGGCACAGGCAAACTCGGCCCGCCAGATGTTTTGGGACTACAATTCCCATCATCCCTGACCACTGGTCCTGTTAGCTAGGGATGATGGGAGTTGTAGTCCCAAAACATCTGGAGGGCCGAGTTTGCCTATGCCTGCCTTAGAGAAGGACAGGAGAGTCCAAAAGGGGGCTGACCCAACAATGCAATCCTATGCATGCCTACTCAGAAGCAAGTCCCACGAAGCTCACCACATGCCATAGGAGCCAACTCCTAGGGGTCAAGGTCCCTTTGCCCCCCAATAAAATATTTGAGGGGGCTGCCCCCCAGAGTTGATGATCATTGCCATTCAAATGATAAGCGTGCACTGCATCATGTGATCGATTATGTGGGGCGGGGTTTATGTGCCCCGCCCCCAATATTTTATTTAGGTTGGCATCCCTGCTACATGCTATTATTTTTGTGTTTCACAGGAAGCCATACTAGAAGAACAGGAAAAGAAGAAAAGCACAAACATGTATGTATATGTATCATTTCCCAGCCTGTGTTCCACGGTTGCAAAAGTGGAATTGTCTTCCTCCTGTCCTTTTGAAACAATATGAAAATGACTTGCTGAAGCAATATCCATACTTTGTCCTACCCTCGTGTAAAGGGCCGTGACCATAAGCTTAAGGATCATCGCCAACATCCTTGTTCTCCTCTCACTCGCCGGAAGCATTTACATCATTTACTTCGTAGTGGATCGATCCCAGAAATTAGAGCGTACGAAAAAGGAGCTAACACTCTGGGAAAAGAATGAGGTAATAAAAGCACACCCTCTTCGTCTCCGTCTGCAGTATGGGGGTGATTAGATTGACAGTTGTTACTGGGCTATCCACACTTAAATACAGGTTTTTAAAACACATTTTCTCTCAAAATACACATTTTAAAACCTTATTTTGAATATGGGTTTTGAGCCAAGAACTGGGAGCCACAGTTTATGTAGAAGTGTGGAATCCAAGAGAGAGCAGCAGTTTGAGCTGAACATTAATCTGAGATGTGTGGATCAAGTTATTCTGCACCCCGTTTAGCAAATGATTGAATCCCACAGGGACCCTTGGCGAAATTGAGGTACAAACTGCGAGACAAGGACAACTGTGACTTTAAAGAAGGATGGGAACTTTTTACAAATTATTTTTAAAAAACAACAAAATGAATTGGACTCCTTGGCAGGTTTTGAATAAACATACACAGATTAAAGCCATGGTTTTCCCAGTAGTGATGTATGGAAGTGAGAGCTGGACCATAAAGAAGGCTGATCGCCGAAGAATTGATGCTTTTGAATTATGGTGCTGGAGAAGACTCTTGAGAGTCCCATGGACTGCAAGAAGATCAAACGCATCCATTCTTAAGGAAATCAGCCCTGAGTGCTCACTGGAAGGACAGATCGTGAAGCTGAGGCTCCAGTACTTTGGCCACCTCATGAGAAGAGAAGACTCCCTGCAGAAGACACTGATGCTGGGAAAGATGGAGGGCACAAGGAGAAGGGGGCGACAGAGGACGAGATGGTTGGATAGTGTTTTCGAGGTTACCAGCATGAGTTTGACCAAACTGCGGGAGGTAGTGGAGGACAGAGGTGCCTGGCGTGCTCTGGTCCATGGGGTCACGAAGAGTCGGACACGACTAAAGGACTAAACAACAACACACAGATTTATTGATTGTTAACATAATAACAGATAATTTAAAGATTTTTACAATTTTACAATATGCAGAGAACAACATGTGTTGAAAAATCAGAGAGAGGAGCTGAGGGAAGTCTTGGGGGGGAGGGAGCGAAGGTTCTTCTTGGGAAGGGGGGAAGGGCTGGAAAATTGGGGGGGAGGAAGAGGATATGTTTTGATAATTTGTTATGTTGAAATCCTTAATAAAAACTAATAATTCCACAGGGACCCCTGCTAAAAATCACACGTGTCCCTCTTCTTTCCAGGTAAGTGTTGTTGTCTCCCTCATCACAATGCTCGCTCCTTCTGCCTTCGAATTGGTTGCTGCACTGGAGATGTACCACCCTCGAACAACCCTACGCTTTCAGCTAGCCAGGTATGGGAAGGAAGGCTGGACGAATTGTATACAGTCATACCTCATGTTACATTTGCTTCATGTTACGTTCTTTCAGGTTACGTCCCACGGCAACCCGGAAGTGCTGGAAAGGGTTACTTCCAGGTTTCACCACTTGCGCATGGGCAAAGCGCAAAATCACGCTTCATGCATGCGCACGAGTGCCAAATTGCGCCGCGCACCTGCGCAGATACCCCACTTCAGGTTGCGCTCTTTTCATGTTGTGAACGGGCCTCCAGAACGGATCCCGTTCGCAACCAGAGGTACCACTGTACAGTGGTACCTCAGGTTACGAACGCTTCAGGTTATAGACGCTTCAGGTTACAGACTCTGCTAACCCAGAAATAGTACCTCGGGTTAAGAACTTTGCTTCAGCATGGGAACAGAAATCGGGCGGCGGCAGCAGGAGGCCCCATTAGCTAAAGTGGTACCTCAGCATAGCTGTCAACTTACAGATTTGAAAATAAGGGACCAGCAGCCTTGAAAATAAGGGACCAGCAGCCAAAATAAGGGACCTGCAGCCTCACCTGTTCCAGGCACTCCAGTCTTCCTGTCCTCCTGCAGACTGGTCAAACTCATGCTGGGTAGCTTCGAGAACACTGTCCAACCAACTTTGTAACCAGAGGTTCAACTGAATAGAATCTGAATCACATGCACCACAAGGCCTATGAAGCCTCAACTTAAGATGGCTCCCCGGCCTGGCTTTGCACTGCAAAGTTTGCAGCAGCACGTGCAACAAAATGGCGTCCAGCATTCAAAAACCCCTCGGCTTGCATTAACTAGCCATACACAAGGCATGCAAGCTCCACCACCCAGTCGTTCTTAGACTTCTTATTGGGTGAGCAACACAGCCAAGCAACACAGTTGTAGCCTCCCTCCTCCCTGGCCGGCAGGGAGGGAGGGAGAGGAGCTGCTTCCTTTGAAATTTAAGGGACATCATTTAAGGGACATTTAAGGGACATCCATCAATAAGGGACAGCAGCGGGACATGGCGCTGGAAATAAGGGACTGTCCCTTCAAATAAGGGACACTTGACAGCTATGTACCTCAGGTTAAGAACAGTTTCAGGTTAAGAACAGACCTGCAGAACGAAAAGTTCTTAACCCAAGGTACCACGATATCATATTTTTTACTGTATGGTAGGGCTGGGTGATACCAGGTTTTCAACATGGCGGTGTATCACCAGCTAAACATCGTGATATAGTGACACATCACAATGTCATCCAGAACATGAAACAGAGCAAATCGCCAGGGCCAGATGGGTTGACCTCCAAGTATTATAAGATACTGAAAGACTATGTGATACAACCACTGATGGAGGTCAGCAATGAAATTATGGAGGGGAAGAAGGCGCCGGAATCGTGGAAGGAAGCTTTTATCACACTGATACCAAAGTCGGAAACTGAAAAGACACAACTTAAGAAATACCGCCCCATCTCCCTTTTAAATGTGGATTACAAAATATTTGCAGATGTTTTGGCAAGTAGATTTAAGAAAGTTTTAAACGAAGTAATTCACAAAGACCAGGCAGGCTTTCTCCCAGGCAGACATATGTCTGCTAATACAAGGAACATTATAGACATATTGGAACTTTTGCAAACAGACATAAACACTAAAGCAGTTTTAATTTTTATAGATGTGGAGAAGGCCTTTGACAACATATCCTGGAAGTTTATGAAGGGGAATCTAAAGGAAATGGGAGTGGGTCGGGGGTTTGAGAATGGGATTGATGCAATATATTCAGAACAAAAGGCCAAATTGATAGTTAACAATGTGGTTACAGAAGAGTTTAAAATTGAAAAAGGTACACGACAAGGCTGCCCGATTTCCCCGCTACTATTTATTTCGGTTCTGGAAGTGCTCCTGAATATGATTAGAGGGGACCGGCTGGTGGAGGGGATCCAGGTCGGAGTGAAACAATACAAACTTAAAGCGTTCGCAGATGACCTAGTTTTGACACTACAGGAGCCAGAATCTAGTACGAAAAGAGTATTACAACTGATCCAGGATTTTGGTCGAGTGGCGGGATTTAAACTAAATAAACAAAAAACTAAGGTTTTGGGGAAAAACCTGACAGATACTGAGTCGGAACGGTTTCAGAGAGAGACAGAATTAACTGTGGTTAAGAAAGTGAAATACCTAGGGGTAAACATAACAGCAAAAAACTTGAGTCTATTCAAAGATAACTATGAAAAATGTTGGTTGGAAATTAAGAGAGACTTGGATAGTTGGTCAAAATTAAAACTTTCATTGTTAGGCCGAATAGCTGCCATTAAGATGAATGTATTGCCAAAAATGTTATTTTTGTTTCAGACATTGCAGATTGTAGACAAAACGGAGTGCTTCCGGAAGTGGCAGAAAGACATTTCTAAATTTGTCTGGCAGGGCAAAAAGCCCAGAATTAAGTTTAAGATATTAACGGATGCGAAAGAAAGAGGGGGCTTTGCCCTGCCAGACTTAAAGTTGTACTATGAAGCCGCAGCTTTCTGCTGGCTAAAAGACTGGCTACTTCTGGAGGACACGGATGTACTGGACCTGGAAGGTTTTAACAATGCATTTGGATGGCATGCATATTTATGGTATGATAAGGTTAAGATTAATAAGGACTTTAAGAACCATATTGTCAGGAAAGCAGTATTTAATGTCTGGATAAGATACAAAGACTTATTGGAGAATAAAACGCCGAGGTGGCTGTCACCCTTGGAGGCTAAGGCCCGAAAAAGAGCCAATATGGAGGCCAATTGGCCAAAGTATTGGGAGATATTAGAAAGAGATGGAGACAATTGGAAATTGCAGAGTCTAGAGAAAATGAGAGACAAAGTGCGAGACTGGTTACACTACGCTCAGATTAAAGAAGTATTTAAGAATGATAAAAAGTTAGGATTCCAGGTGGAGAAATCGAAGTTGGAAACAGAACTGTTAGAACCTAAGACTAAAGTACTTTCAAAAATGTATAATTTGCTGCTGAAATGGAACACACAAGACGAAATGGTTAAATCGGCAATGATAAAGTGGGCACAGGACATTGGGCATAATATTATGTTTGAAGATTGGGAAAGGTTGTGGACCACTGGGCTGAACTTCACTGCATGTAATGCTCTGAAGGAAAATGTAATGAAAATGATATATAGATGGTACATGACCCCAGTTAAATTGGCTAAGATATACCATTCGTCTGATAATAAATGTTGGAAATGTAAGGAAAATGAAGGAACATTCTTTCACCTCTGGTGGACTTGCCCTAGAGTGAAGGTCTTCTGGGAGATGATATATAACGAGTTAAAAAAGGTGTTTAAGTATACCTTTACGAAGAAACCAGAGGCCTTTCTCTTGGGCATTGTTGGCCAGAATGTGTTAAAGAAGGATAGAACATTTTTTATGTATGCAACAACGGCAGCAAGGATACTGATCGCCAAGAATTGGAAAACTCAAGATCTACCCACTCTGGAAGAATGGCAGACGCAGCTGATGGACTACATGCAACTAGCCGAGATGACTGGCAGAATTCGAGACCTGGGAGAAGAGAGAGTGGAAGAAGACTGGAAGAAATTTAAGATTTATTTACAAAAATACTGTAATTTGGTTGAATGTTGACAGGGTTGCCAGAGCAGAAATAACCGTCTATCACTAAACTAGATTTAAGTTTAATTATATTTTAATGACTGAACCTAAAGACTATGAATAAGATGATAATTTGCTTGGAAATAATTTAATAACGATGTAAGTGCGTGCGGGAGGTGTGAGGGAGTCCAAAGTAATGATGAAAAGATGAAAATAATCAATGTTGTTTTATTAAATATGCTTTTGTATTGAAAAAACTTTAATAAAAATATATTAAAAAAAAACACAATGTTAAAAAGGAAGGAGCATCAAGCCCCCTGGCCCCAAAAGATGCCAGGGTGAAACCGCTGCTGCTCACTCTGTCGCCAGTGCCTGGCACATGGAGGAAAGAGCAAGGAGCACTGGTGTCGGTCCTGTGAGGTGCCGGGCTGAAATTGCCACCGCTCCCTCCGCCACCAGCGCCTGGCACAGGGAGGAAGGAGAAGAAAGGCAAGGCACTGAGTGGCAGGCAAGCCCTACCCACAATATACCGCTGGGTAAAGACGCCATCGCGATCTGGTCCTCAGACTGGTCCTGGTTGATGTATCAATACATTGCCCAGGCTTACTGTATGGTACAATGGGGAGACAGTGGTTGGGTGGCAGAGCATCTATTTTGCACGCAGAAGGTACCAGGTTTAATCCCTGGCATCTCCAGGTAAGGCTGGAAATATCTCAGACATTGTTTTTTGTTTTGACAGAGTTCTTGTCTTATATCTGGGAAATCTATACAGTTTGATCATTGCACTTCTGGACAAAGTGGACAGCATGAGCATCGCTGTAAGTTGCAAATCTCGACCATCTTTGGGGTGTAAGCTCTATGCTTTTTATTTATGTTTTTGGCCTTTAATGTTCCACCTGATTTTCTGAGGAACTCAAGGTGGATAACAAGTCAAAATGCAAAAACAATATTTCAAAGGTATTAAGAGGTTCCAAATGCATAAAGAAGAGACCGATGGACAGGACAGCTTACTCTATGGCATTAACCCCTTCAAGCATTAATTAGACTTAAGCATGCTGGCTATATGAGGCTGGTTATCCCATACTTTGTTGCTCTCCTCTGAACCGCTCCCAGTTGGTAAGATGCTGTGCCCACTGATTTACCTTATAGGGCTGTTATAAGGGCTAGACGAGAGCCTGCTTAAGGAACCTGTCACCCTCCAAATGTGGTGTGCTCCATATTCCCATTGTCCCTGACCATTGGCTGTTGGCTGATGAGAGTTGGAGAGTTGGCCACAGGTTCCCTAGCTCTGTCCTAAAAGATCTAGATCTCCAGGATATTTTAAGCACCACCTTCTTAAGGCTTAAGTTTATGAGTTTGACCTTTGCTCCATGATTTCAGGAATCTGAAGTTCACAACAATGGAAGCACCACCACAGTGGTTGCCACCACCACCACCTCAGCTACTAAACTTATTAGAGAAGACAACTTTTCAACAATCATTCCCAGTATGCATATTATGAGGACCAGCACCTTTCTTCTGGTTGACAACCACACTCAAAGCTACGCTCTACCCATCAGCATGGTGACCAACAAGACAGCATCTTATGAATCCAACACTCAAAGCCACCAAGATCAATGCTGGGAGACCTATGTTGGGCAGGTAGGTTTGACCTTTATGTGAGATTAGACAGGCAGGTACCCAAGACAAGGTCTTTGCAGTGATGGCAGCAGGATTGATGAATGGTTCGACTGTGGAGATCTGTTGAGCCCCTTATATGTTAGCTTTTGGATCAGGGATGGGGATGCTGTTTCCCTCAAAATGTTGCTGGGCCAGTTGTATTCACTGGATTGATTTCCATTCCAAACATGGGACAGACAAACCAACTTTGTTAGGCAATTTCTACTCCCGTGTCTGTATTTGTTGGAATTCTCTGACATTCCTACCCATGACATTGACACAGAATAGAAATAGTTTGATCCATCTAGCCCTCTTCCTGGCAACAATGGAAGACACAGAGGAGCATTCCTTGCCCTGGAATGTGACATTTTTGCATCCTTCCTGTTTCAGGAAATGTTGAAGCTGTCGATTATTGACATGCTCTTCACCGTGGCGAGCATCCTGTTGATTGACTTCTTCCGTGGGCTTTTTGTCCGATACTTAAGTGACTGTTGGTGCTGGGATCTGGAAAGCAAATTTGTGAGTATATCTTTCCTATTAGTAAAGAAGGAGAAGGGGAGGTAAAAACTGGGGACACATTACACAGGCATGGAAGTAGCTGCTGAAAACCACATCCCTATATTGCATCGCCCAGCCCTTTCGCTGTAACACAATGGCGGGGGATCTGTGGACCCTACAGATGTTGTTGGACCATTAGTCACTCTGGTGGAGCTGATGTGAGTTGCAGATGCAACAACATCTGGAGGGCCATAGTTTCCCTACCACTACTGACGATTGTATCTGTGATTATTATAACACCTCCAGTCAATAGGTGGTGCTGTTCCACATCCTTTGTTGTTGTTGTTTAGTCGTTTAGTCCGACTCTTCATGACTCCACCCAGCTAATGTTCTATACCTTGTCCATCTTGTTCTTCTTTCTTTGGGGGTTCCTAAATTGGGCAGATCTAAACTGGGGGGCAAAGCACCGTTGTTTTAACTTGCTAATTGGTTATAAAGTCTGCTCTTCTAAGTGAGTGTTAACAATAATTTCATTTAGCCACCATGCAGCATTCCCCATCTTTGCTTTACAGTAAGCATCACTTGGTATTCCAGCCAGATCTGCTCTCTTTAGGACAAAGAATTATATTGACAACAGGCTGTGGGGTATTATTACATTAAGAGTGCCTTAGATGAATATTTACTCTGAAAAAAAGAGTCGCTTTCTAGTTCTGTACTTTTGTTTACTTTGCAGCCAGAATATGGAGAATTCAAAATAGCAGAAAATGTCCTGCATTTGGTCTACAATCAAGGGATGATTTGGTAAGTGAAAGCACATATGGAATTTTGTAGGAGTTTGTTTGTGGTTTTTTTTAAAAAAGTTGTAATTGCAATTGATTTTATTTTAATTTTATCCAATATTTGCATTCTGACAATAATACTGAGCTCAAAGGGGCTCAGAATGGCATTAAAAATTAAACAAAGATTGCAGTCACTATTAATCATATCAAAAGCACAGCAGCATATAACGAAGGCAGAAAACAAACAAATTCCACCAAACAGTTAACACATTTCAATACAATCTCATAGTGATTCAAAATAACTTTTTATGCGATAGATCTAGATTTTGTGTGAACTACACAGGAAAAAACAAGTACTCTGTCTCACTGATTCTGGAATAAAATGTCATGTGTACATGGTTGAGAGAGCTCGCAATTACCCCACCTGTTCTGAGATGACCAATGGCAAGCTAGCTTACCTCTTTCTCCCCTCTCCGCTCCGCCTTCCTTTCCCCAAATTCATCACTGCTTGTTTTCTCTCCTAGGATGGGAGCCTTCTTTTCGCCCTGCCTCCCAGCGTTCAACGTTCTCAAGCTGATAGGGCTCATGTACCTGCGGAGCTGGGCTGTGCTAACTTGCAATGTCCCCCATCAGCAAGTCTTCAGAGCCTCTAGGTAGGTTAGTCAATGAGTAAGTAAGATGGTCGTGGGGTTGTATCCAATGCTACTCCTATTCAGTGTAGACCCACTAAACTTGATGTGCACACAATCAACTTAGGTCCACTAATTTTGAATTGTTGTATTTTAATATTTTGCTGGAAGCTGCCCAGAGTGGCTGGGGAAACCCAGCACAAATAAATTATTATTATTATTATTATTATTATTATTATTATTATTATTATTATTATTACCACCAGCATGGCACAGGGGATCCCGAGTGGGTGCTTCAACCCTCATCCCGGGCTATTCGCCTGCATGTAATTGCTGCCTTAGCAGGATGCCTCAAAGACAAGCATCCATTTAATATATCCTTCAGTTTCCTCTGGAAGTAGAGTTTTGTAGGGCACTGTAGATCCCAAGAACGTTGCAAATGCCTTAAAGGAAGGTGTGTTTTTATTAGAACCGATGGTGCCACGAGGGGTGGGGACCTGTTGCAGCCCCCCAGAGCTTCTGGGACCCCCATCAATGGTTGAAGGAAGCTGGAGCTCACTGACATCTGGAGGCTCACAAGTTTCCCCCCTCCCAGCTCTCATAGATCGCAAAGCAGCTTCTTCGCCTCCAGGTCATTGATTCGAAGCCAGCAAGGGGGAGAGAAAGGCTATAGCTTGATGGCACTTTGTTAATTGAACTGTTTGAAGTTCATTTTCTAAGTGACTGTATTGCACTGGGATCACATGGGACCTCGGCGAAAGATGGAGCCGTGGGCCAAAGATTGGAGCTGGGCAGCTCAGGGTGAATGCCAAAAGCCAAGCTGGACCAAGAAGTATAGAATAGGTCAGAGGGGTGACAACTGGTCGGTGAGGGCAGACCAAAGGCACAGATAACAACTGGGCAGTGAGGGCACAACAGCAGAACAACACCAACTGTGTGGTTAACCACCAGAAATGGCAGCCATCCTGCTCCTCTCTCGGCCAGTAATATTTAATAAAGCAAAACCTGTGATGTCATATGCTGTGAACACCTTCCTTCCTCTCTTCCTTGGATTCTGCCACCATGTGACTTGCTATGTTTATTAAATATTACGGGGAGGGGTGTAAAGAAGAGATAAAAGGTAAAGGGACCACTGACCATTAGGTCCAGTCGTGACCGACTCTGGGGTTGCGGTGCTCATCTCGCTTTATTGGCTGAGGGAGCCGGCGTACAGCTTCTGGGTCATGTGGCCAGCAGGATTAAGCCGCTTCTGGCGAACCAGAGCAGCACACGGAAACATTGTTTACCTTCCCGCCGGAGCAGTACCTATTTATCTACTTGCACTTTGACGTGCTTTTGAACTGCTAGGTTGGCAGGAGCAGGGACCGAGCAACGGGAGCTCACCCCGTCGCGGGGATTCAAACCGCCAACCTTCTAATCGGCAACTCTTAGGCTCTGTGGTTTAACCCACAGCACCACCCATGTCCCTCAAAAGAAGAGATAGCAGGCTGCTGATTTTGGTGACAGCCACGCAATGGCTGTAAGGGCCACCTTGGAATGTTTGTGTGTATAACAGGACAAGAAAAGAACGAAGGAGGAACTGCCCTTCCAACCTTAGTCTGCCCTCAGCCAGCTCCAAACTAACTAACTACCTACCTTCTTACTCCGGGAGGTGGCACTGCCTGCCACCTTCTCCTCCCTTGTGCTTTGATTTTATAGGACCCAGCAACGTTCAGGATAACAAGAGTAGTACAAATCAAATGTAAGCATCCAGCAGCTGTTAAAAATGACAGGCATTGTGGAATTTCAGAAGGAAAGCCGCAGAAATTTAGATTGCAACCTTCAGTGTGGGCATCACGAGGCATTCTGGTGCAAACCAATAAATGACTTTTTTGCAGGTTAGACCTTGGTTAAGGTAAAGGTAAAGGGACCCCTGACCCATTAGGTCCACTCGTGGACGACTCTGGGGTTGCGGTGCTCATCTGCCTTTACTGGCCGAGGGAGCCAGTGTACAGCTTCCAGGTCATGTGGCCAGCATGGCTAAGCCGCTTCTGGCGAACCAGAGCAGTGCACGGAAACGCCGTTTACCTTCCTGCCAGAGTGGTACCTATTTATCTACTTGCACTTTGACGTGCTTTCGAACTGCTAGGTTGGCAGGAGTAGGGACCAAGCAATGGGAGCTCACCCCGTCGTGGGGATCCGAACCGCCAGCCTTCTGATCGGCAAGCCCTAGGCTCTGTGGTCTAACCCACAGCGCCACCCACATCCCTCTAGACCTCGGTTATATCCCCCCAGTAACCAAAACAGGAACTTCCGAGGTGGAGTAATGCCATATATCTTCCTTCCTAGCTATGGGATACAGTGGAAGGAAGACTTTGGGGTCAAGGATTCAAGTTTGATGCGTAAGATGCCCAGGGAGGTGGGAAATCCTACTCTAGGAAGGATTCCCCTAGCAAAAGAATTTGCTGTGAATGAGTTAGGGTGTTGCTAGAACCCATTATGCTGTGGAACTGGGTATTAACTATTTCTTTCCTTGTAGATCTAATAACTTCTACCTGGCTATGCTGCTCTTCATGCTATTTTTGTGTATGCTTCCAACCATATTTGCTATTGCCCGCTATAAGCCATCCCTCACCTGTGGGCCGTTTAGGTGAGTTGATGCTAGTGAGGCTTTATTTGGGGTTTGTTGTGTTGTGTGAGAATCCTACAGTGAGACAATCATTTAGACGTCATCTAGCCCATGCACCCTTGCTCAGCACAGGAATCTGATGTAGTTCGGAAAGACAAAACTCAGATATGCTCGTCTCCATCCTTTTCTCCCAGTCCTTTCCCCACTTCCCCAACAAACGCAGGCCTAGACGCCCACACAAGATTTCCAGTTATGGCTGTGAAGCTTACTGGGTGACCTTGGGCTAGTCACTGCTTCTCAGCCTACCCTACCTCACAGGGTTGTTGCGGGGATTAAATGTGGAAGGGCAGAACCATGTACAATGGTACCTCGGGTTACAGATGCTTCAGGTTACAGATGCTTCAGGTTACAGACGCCGCTAACCCAGAAATAGTATCTCAGGTTAAGAACTTTGCTTCAGGATGAGAACAGAAATCGCGTGACTGCAGCGGGAGGCCCCATTAGCTAAAGTAGTACCTCAGGTTAAGGACAGTTTCAGGTTAAGAATGGACCTTGGGTTCTTAACCCGAGGTACCACTGTACATCACTTTGAGCTCCTTGGAGAAAAAGGTGGGATAAGAATGCAATCAATAATATGGCTGTTACCAGAAGACAACTATGAAGTGTCTTAAGATGCTGGGGATTATTATTATTATTCTCCCGAGAGAGCAACTGAATGTTTTTCACCCTAGCGGACAAGAAAAAATATATGACATTGTGTCCGAAACCATTCAAGCTGACTTTCCTGTCTGGTTCCACAAGATGATGATTTATGTGAGCAGCCCTGTAGTTGTCCTCCCGGCTTTATTGCTTCTCTTGTAAGTCTATAAACCTCTTTATCGATTTCACTGCCAACATTACAGCTGCTGTTGACCTACATGTTCAGAACATCCTTTGACCCTTCTGCAGACTGTATCATTTTAGAATGATGACTGACACCACAGTGGAATATGCTCTCCCATGACAAAATCACCCCAGGCATAGAAAAAGTAGCATGTAAAGAAACACTTTAGACCTGAAGCTTTCTTCCTGACATGCTTTTTCCAGATTTTTCCCCCCAATGGGGAGGAGCTTCCAGTCTTCCTATTTATAAACACACACATGCATGCATGCACACACGTCTGGATTTGGGTCTACATCCCATTGAGCTCAATAGGACAAGTGCGCTCTGACTTATTTTCATTCTGCTAATTTCAATGGGGTTTTAAGCGTGACAAGCTGTCTCTGGTTTGAGGCCATACACCTGTGCATGTATGTTGTCCTCAGGTGTCCGGGAGGTTCATGGGGTAACACATACAATAAGGCCACCCTGTCCACTTCAACTGAACGCTTCAATTGAAGGTGGCTTGGAAAGGAAACTGTACACAAAGTTCTCCAGTGAAATGAATGGGAAGAATGAATCGTGTGCATCATAGTTCACAAAGGGGTCTGGATCAGGAGTTTGATGTGTATTTAAGTCTTATTGATAATGGAAGATTGGTGCATGGTGTGTTTTGGATTGGAGGCTATCTGGTATTCTTCCAACCTGCTCTTATGTAAGTGGTCTCCCATTTCAGTGTATTGATCAGCTTATTGATCAGGTCCACACCTGCTTAGTTTCAGCAACTCTGCAAAGTTAGAAGTTTACACAACATTCACTGATCTTCATGGAAATGAATGGTTTGCAGTTATAATCCAATTCCTGTCCTTGCACCAGAGCAATTTCGTTCAGTGATGAACTTGTGTTTCTCTCTTCCAGCATGCTAATTTATTATCTGCAGAGTATTGCTAGGTCGCTAAAATTCACTAACAATCAACTGAGGATGCAGATCCAGAATGTAAGTACTGATATCTTTCAATTTTTAAAAGCTTTTAGTTTACATGTTTAGTGGCATTTCATAAAGGACTTAGCACCAAAATATTGGGTGGGCGAGGAGTGGAAGAGGAACTGTAATATTTATTCTGCATTGGCAATTTGCACTGGGTGCTTCTGTTATTGACAGATCCTATTAAGTCATCCCGAGTGTTTTGTGTGCATTCTAGGAAAGAACTGAAGACAAGAAAAAAGTGGTCCAAATGGCAGCAGGTGAGAAGAAATGCTAAATCCACAAACAGGAACCTAAGAAACACTTAGCTGTATTTGACTGAATGCTCTTTGGGAGCACAGACCATCTATTACAGCAACTACTTCCACCAGAACCATTATGAAATCATGTCACATTTATGTCAGTGGGAGACTTAGCATCAATATTGTTGGGTGCAAAATTTTCCATTGCTTTATTGTTCCACTGAAAAATTTGTTTCGTGAGCTCATGACTAACAATGAATGGATGGCAACTGCAAATACAATATTAGATGGGCTTGACAGTTTCAAAGTTTTTTGCTTTGTTTGCTAAATTAGAGCACGCTGGGCAGCTTCCGACATATATAGAAGCATAATAAAACATTAAACAACTTCCCTATACAGGGCTACCTTCAGATGTCTCCTAAAGATTATAGTTAGTTAGTTAGTTAGTTAGTTAGTTAGTTAGTTATCTCCTTGGCTCAGGGCTCCAACATTTTTTCAATAAAAATAGGGACGTCCTAAGGAAAAGCAGGGGGACACAGGTGGCGCTGTGGGTTAAACCACTGAGCCTAGGGCTTGCCGATCAAAAGGTTGGCGGTTCGAATCCCCATGATGGGGTGAGCTCCCATTGCTCAGTCCCTGCTCCTGCCAACCTAGCAGTTCGAAAGCACATCAAAGTGCAAGTAGATAAATAGGTACTGCTCTGGCAGAAAAGTTAAACGGTGTTTTCGTACGCTGCTCTGGTTCATCAGAAGCGGCTTAGTCATGCTGGCCACATCACCCGGAAGCTGTACGCCAGCTCCCTCAGCCAGTCAAGCGAGATGAGTGCCACAACCCCAGAGTTGGTCACGACTGGACCTAATGGTCAGGGGTCCCTTTACCTTTAAGGAAAAGCAGGACATTCTGGGACCAAACCAGAAACTGGGACAGCTTCTGTAAATCTGCGACTGTCCCTGGAAAATAGGGACACTTGGAGGGTCTGCAGTTGTGAAAACAAATGTACTAGTTGATGAATAAAGAGGCTATAACCGTGTTCTTGATTTAATCCGCATCTTTAGCCAGAATACAAACTACAGAAGGAAACGACATAAGGCCGGAGCAGGAGAGTGACATCATCAGCCAGGAGTCCTCAGCCCGGTGCTCGACGCCGAGGAAGAACGGCAGTGTGGTGAACTTTGAGTCGCCCAAAGGCAGGAGAATACAAACCATCTCCCAGTCCGTAGCGCAGCCTGAAGTAGCCAAGCCAGTCAGCCCACCGCCAGCAAATGCTCTTCCTGCAGCCCCAGCGCCTATAGCGGCTCCCTTGCCCGTAGCATCCCCAGTGCCCATAGCTCCGACACCCGTCACTCCAACGCCATCTCTGCCCAGTGTACCGAAGCCGAGAGCGGAACCCATCGCCAACAGGTAAAACCCTCCTCTTGAGCTCTGGAAGTAAATGGAGGCCCACAAGAAGTAGCTTCAGTTGTTTCGTTCATGTTACGCTATTGCAGACCATAAGAAGAGCCCTGCTGGGAGCCCAGGTAGTCCAGCATCCTGTTCTCACAGTGGCCACCAAATGCCTATGGGAGACCAACATGGATGCAACACCATTCTTCCCACTAGTGAATCTCAAAAACTGGAACCCAGAGGCAAGCTGCCTGTGGCAGAGGAGGTGGATCAATAATAAAATAATAATAATTTATACCCCACCCATCTGGCCAGGCCTCCCCAGCCACCCTGGGCGGCTTCCATAAAAAATATTAAAATACCATAATACATCAAACATTAAAAGCTTCCCTAAACAGGGCTGCCTTCAGATGTCTTCTAAAAGTCTGGTAGTTGTTGTTCTCTTTGCCATTTGGTGGGAGGGCGTTCCACAGGGTGGGTGCCACTACCGAGAAAGCCCTCTGCCTGGTTCCCTGTAGCTTTGCTTCTCGCAGTGAGGGAACTGCCAGAAGGCCCTCAGCGCTGGACCTCAGTGTCCAGGTAGAACGATGGGGATGGAGACACTCCTTCAGATATACTGGACCGAGGCCATTTAGGGCTTTAAAGGTCAGCACCAACACTTTGAATTGTGCTTGGAAACGTACTGGGAGCCAATGTAGGTCTTTCAAGACCAGTGTTATGTGGTCTTGGCAGCCGCTCCCAGTCACCAGTCTAGCTGCCGCATTCTGGATTAGTTGTAGTTTCTGGGTCACCTTCAAAGGTAGCCCCACATAGAGCGCATTGCAGTAGTCCAAGCGGGAGATAACCAATAGAGATAGGAAGAATTATTTGAAGCTCACCTTGGATTGTTTTGGAGACTTAACTTGCAAATTTATTATTATTAAACAAAACAACGAGAAGACCTAAGTCTTTTTCCTCTCTAAACCAATATGAGGTCCTATTCCTCAGAATATGAAGAGCCAGCTAGAACTGGGCTAGTTGCTGAGATTGGAAACCAAACCATGAGATTGCATGCCAAGGCACCCAAGCCCCAAAGTTCCCAGGAGAACATTAAATAACACTGACACAGAATATTTGTTTTATGGGTTCAAATATTGATTGGTTACAGGTGTGAGCGGTTTGACGGTGAAGCTGGGCTATATCTTGACTCCTGCCTGTCTGCAGGGAGTCCACAGAAGGGTATACCACTGATAGAGGGTGACTTATAATTACGTCAGATAGTGGCACCCCGTGGGGTCCCCGTAGGAGCTGTGACATGGCCCTAGCCCATGCCCAGGCTTCAGACAGCATTCACACCCCAGATCCCCTTAGCAGGATATCCTTACTCAAGAGGGGCAGGCGAAGGCAGCAGCCTCCCCTCCAACCAAAGGCTTACCCAATGCCTAACCTCACAAACGTTGTGACGATTGCTACTAGGTAGGTGAAACCCCTCAAAGTTGGTAGCATTTGGCAATGTCTCTTTCAGGAAGATAGTTGGCCATTACTGATGATCTTGCGGAAGGACACCCATTTGATAACAAACTGGTGTAGACTGAGGACGAGAACTAACATGAGAACGGGCCTTCTCTGCAGAGGCTCCCCATCTGTGGAATTCTCTCCCCAGGGAAGTTCGCCGGGCGCCTTCATTATACACCTTTAGGCGCCAGGCAAAAACGTTCCTTTTTAACCAGGCCTTTGGTTGATCTGTTTGACACCCTATGCCCTTTAAAAATGTGTTTGGGAGGGGGGCATTATTGGGTTGTTGTTTTTATTTTGATTATATATTTTGTGGTTTTATATTTTGATTTTGTTCTGTGAACCGGGCAGTATATAAATTCAATAAATAATAATAATCCACACTTCCGCTTGTGCCATGCCTAGAAAGCATGGTTCTGAGCAGTTATCGCTCCTTTCCTTTTTTTAATATATATATATTTTATTAGTTTTTTAACATATCATTTTCAACTGTAATTAAACATACTTTTACATCTTATTCAAATTTTTGACTTCCATCCATCCTGTCTGACAGGAGTTATCGCTCATTTCCAAGGGAAAATCCGTTTTTAGATAGACCGGAACAAATGGCAATCCAGGCAAAACCCAAATAGTTGGCCCCAATTGAGCGCTAAAGAGCTGTTTTCCCCAGGGAGAAAAGCAGGAGGAGAAGTGGAAGTGTGGATAAGCCCTAAATTAATCTCTCACACACTTTCTCTCTTTCTTGTAGATACCCAAGTGCTGCCCATGGAAGTGCAAGCGACCTCTGCAAAGCCAAGGCTTACACCCCTGTGAAGTACAAGAAGCGCCTAGAAGATGTTCACTCAGAACCTCTGTTCAGGAAGAGCCTCCGACAAGCCAACCCCGAGGCTCGCGGCGCTGGCGGCACCCCTGCTTTTGTGGGCCGCAGGTCTCACACGGCCAGGTACTTCCTTGTCAACGAGCACGAACCCCGGAAAAAGCTCCTCCGCTCCACCACGCGGCTGCCAAGGAATTTCCGAATGGACGAGTCGGGGGACATCGTGGAGCTGTATCCGAGAAACATCCGGAGGTACATGGTTCGGACGCCACACAGGGCCTACTCCCCTCATTTCAGCGAAGAGGAGGAAGAAGAGGAGCTGAGGAGGGCTCTGGCCAATAGATCTCACCGCCCACGGTCACTCTCCGATCTCCGAGCAGCCCCCCGCTTCTACATTGGAGAGTGTGCTGACAGCCAGATCCTTAGTAGCAAGGCGCTGGCGAAGATGCACTACAAATCTTGGGAAGATGGCTTCGGGCTCACGTTTGGCAGGCCCCCTCACGCCCACCGGAAGATTCACCTGAAGAACATTGAACTGGACCCACGCTACCCGGAGCAGCACCCGAAGGCAAAATCCAAACACAAGCCCGAGCCGTCCCCGACGGAGTCTGACTCCATCTCTGTCGAATCGAGCAGTGACCAGCCAACTAGCGGCAACGACCAATACATCCAAGTCATCCACAGCAAAGACAAGTACCTGAAACCTGGAGCGACGTTAACCAGGAAGAAATCCAAGACTGGTGCCGACTTGAACATGGCCGAGGCTAATGAACTGATATGCTCAAATGTTTAGTGGGGAAAGACGAGGCTGCCTCATTCAAGAGCAGAAGTTCCTAAACTTCTTTGGCCTACAACACCACGCCCCGTTCTGAAAAGAAAATGCAGTGGTACCTCGGTTTTCAAACGTAATCCGTTCCAGAAGACCGTTTGACTTCTGAAACGTTCAAAAACCGAGGCACAAAGGGCGGCCTCCCAGTTCAATAGAGAAAATTGTGGAAAACAACAGATACATGCAGCGGAGGCCGTTCGACTTGTGAGGCACATTAGAAAACAGAAGTATCTACTTCCGGGTATTTGGCTTTTGAAAACAGAAACTTTTGGCAATGGAGATGTCTGAAAACTGAGGTACCACTGTACTCTGTGTCTCCCCCCCCCCCCCCCCGCCGCAGTAAAGGTTTTTCAAAACTGGACGAAGGGTAGGGTAGGCCACGGGATTAAAAATCCATGGGGTGGACCAGAGTCCGATCTTCCCCAGGGGTGGTGCCCCAGCCCACCTGCCATTGGCCAAATAGGCAGGAAAGCTGAGATCCACTTTCCGGGCTTGGTGAACCACAGCTTCCTATCAACCCAACTGGCCATGCTGGTTGGGGCTGATAGCAGCTGGGGTCCAGCCATACCCAGAGTGCCACATGGTACACATCCCTGCTTAAAAATTTTTTTTAAGCAAATAGGCAATTGCATTGTGCTTGGAGCAGATACCAATCAGTCCTTATACTGAGCAAGATTCTCTATATTCAATCATTCGTGGCTGAACTGTTACTGTGAAATGATATTGCAGCGGTAGAGAAAGGCATTTAAAAGCACTCAAAAGAAATGTACAGAAACCATTGTGTGAAGCTTATTCCACCCTCTCATGAATCTTGGTGTAGTGTACTCACAAGTAAGCCACAATGCATTCAAAAGGACATATTACTAGGTTAAGTGTGTATAAGAACAACATGAAGGATTGCATTCTGCATCATTGCCAGAAGGTGGCGCTGCTGAGTTGCTCTCTGTTATGCTTGGGTACCACCTATGGCTGGAGGATGGTACTACATCTTCCAGTTCAGCAGTTGCCACGTGACACAGGTAGCCCAATAGGGTTCCACCTGGCTGTATAAAATCACTCGGATTGGCTCCTCCTTGCTCCGAGTTTTTATGACAACCACTTTCAGATTGCAAACCTGCTTAGCACCTCATTGCCTGTTCTGCCTCCAGATCAACAGTGCACTTTCTAACTCTGTACAATACAGTGCTCATCACTGGCATTAAATAAAATATTAAAAGCAGTAGTTGAATATAGTTTGAAAACTCACGTCTGGTCAACTCCCTTCTTAACATCAGTGTTTAGTATCTGCTTTGCTTCAGTTTTGCACGGTGCCCGTTTCCAATATAATTATTAAGGCTGCAATATTATAAATCAGTTTAAAGTTTAATTGGTGGAATCTCACTGAAACAGCAAAATATATTGGGCTGACCCTAACACAGAGGAGGTGAGATGCTGGCCTCATCTGTTTACACACAGTAGCAGCGAAACTGGTTCTTCCACATTTTATGGAAGGTGGAGGCAAAAACGGATTGCAAGATTGGTCTGTAAACCCTGCCTCCTTATTTTATTAGTGACGTACTCCACAAGGGTAACTTTATAGTGAAGCAAAAAGTCTGGTGGCACCTTGGAGACTACAGTGGTACCTTGGTTCTCAAACGTAATCCGTTCCGGAAGTCCATTCCAAAACTAAAGCGTTCCAAAACCAAAGTGTGCTTTACCATAGAAAGTAATGCCAAACAGATTAATCTGTTCCAGAGTTTTAAAAACAACTCCTAAAACAGCAATTTAACATGAATTTTACTATCTAACGAGACCATTGATCCATAAAATGAAAGCAATAAACAATGTACTGCAGTCACACAATCAATCAATCAATCAGTAGCTGAACTGGGTCCCACACAGTCACAAAAACAACAACAAAAAGAGCCATAAAAACAAAAACACAAAATAAATAGCAAAAACAAACAGACCACAGCATAACACTAAAAATGGAAGCGTGGTATTAAAAACGGAAGTGTAGCACTCAAAACGGAGTACATTTGGCTTCTGAAAAAAAGTTACTTCCGGGTTTACAGTGTTTGGGTTCCGAATCGTTTGAGTACCAAGGCATTTGAGAACCAAGATACCACTGTGCAAATTATTATAGTCCATCTTTCCTCCCAGGAGCTTAAGAACTCTGACCCTTCCCCATTTTGCATTCGCAATCTGCTTAAACCAAACCAAACCTTCAGTTCATCTGCCTCACTGATCTTCAGCTGGAGGCCAGGAGAATGCAGTACCGGGCCACAACCTCATCTAAACTGGGCCACCATGGCAGCACTACCAACATACAGATATATCATGGAAATGATGGGCCTTGAGTCTGAAAAGGCTGAAGATTATTGATTAGGTTGGTATGGTCAAGAGCAGGGTTTCCCAAACTTGGGTCTCCAGCTGCTTTTGGACTGCAACTCCCATCATCCCTTGCTAGCAGGACCAGTGGTCAGGGATGATGGGAATTGTAGTCCCAAAGCAGCTGGAGACCCAGGTTTGGGAAACCCTGGTCTACAGCAACTGGCAGTGGCTCTTTGGGGTTTCAGACAGACGCCTTCCCCAGCCATATCTGCAGATGCCAGGAAGTGGGGAGGGCGAGGCTTCTTGTTATATGAGAAGACTGGCAATGAAAGAGAGAGGCGTGTTAAATAGGGCATAAGTGAAAACAAGATCCAGTCGAAAGTGTAAAAGGTTCAACCGGAGTGGGCATAACCCTCTCCCAGCTGGTAATGAGCTGGCAAAGCAAGATTTGTAGCAGGCACGAACAGAGGGAACATTTACTTTCTACAGTGAGCTAGCCACACCCAGTCTCTGTTGAGCCCAAATCTGATAGTGTCAAATTACACATGAATTCCAGCTCAACAGATTGGAAGCGTCCCTTTGCAACAGGCAATATATGCCATTGCGTGCTAGCAATGACCGCTCCCCACATCAAATGGGGGGTGCCTTTTGCATGGTCGTGTGCAGACCCCCAAATCCCAGTGCGTCCCTGGTAGTGCGGGCTGGCTTCATCCTCCTCAGACTGGATACCTGGAGGTCTCCGCCTACCTCAGCCAATCGCCCAATCCCACCTAGGGAGGCATTGCCAGGGGATTGGCCAGGTAAGGGGAGGGACTGCCCTGCCCACACAACAGAAGGTGAATCTTACCTGTGAAGTGTCAGTTGGCTCCAGAGCTTCTCCCACCCTGCCCTCCCTCAGTTAAGCCTTCTTTTGCAGATTAACCTCTTCTCCACAGGTACGCAGGTGCTGCTACACCAGGGTCACTGTTGAAGGGCCGGAAAGGAATTTTCCTGCTTTGGCAGGTTTTACCTTTCCTATAGCAAAACGTCACAACTTTGGCGGTTTCAGGCCTTGGGAGGAATCCTTTAGTCTATCTTCCTAAATGGGGGGATGTGAAGCGGTGACCCACACCCCTTGCAACGGTGATCCCAGGGTTCCCCATTAAAGGGGTCTTGAGGGGAGGCATTGGCCATATGCCGAGAGGTTGTCATTGCTCTCCCCTCCAACGGCGGCAAAATGGGGGGTGGGCTCCCTGCTTGAACAGACGTTCTCCAGAGCCAGCCCAATCCCCACACATTCTGGATAACCCTGATGTCTCCCAGATCCCCGGCTGGGAAGGATAAACGCCCAATGCCTGAGCCAAGGTCTCCCTACATCTGAAACTTAATAAAGTTGTGGCCAATTTAGCACGTTGTCTTGAGTCATTATTCCACTCAGTGGTCGCCAGGGGCTGGGGGGGGGGTTACTCAGCCTGTCCACGCAATTGCCATTCTGTTACAGCTGGTGAAACTGGACTCTCATGAGGATTAGTGGAAACAAATTGGACATGGCTGTGGCACACCTCTCTCCTGCAGCTGGGTCTTCGGGTCTTATTTTGCAGTAATACTTTCACCCCCTTTCCTATCCCATCTGCAGCTCAGTTGTCATGATCATCATGCAGAAGGCCCTGCGTTCAGTCCCTGGCATCTCCAGGATCAAGTGATGGCAAAGCCTAAACCTTTGGAGAGGCCACTGCCAGTCCCAGTAGACAGTACCGAACCAGATGGAACAAACTGTGGGCAGCTTCCTATCTATAGAGCACAGGGATTGCTGGACTGCAACACCCAGCAGACTTAGCCAGCATGACCAATGGTCAGGGAAGATGCAGGATTTATGTTGGGGGGGGAGGTCTTTTGTTAGGGGGGGGCAGAGCCAAGTTATCTGTGACTCAATTGGTCAGTTAGTTAAGTACTTTTATTTACTTGATTTGGGGGGGACAGCTGCTCCCCTGCACCCACCTGGCTATGCCCATGGAATGATGGGAGTAGTGGTCCACCACTAACAATAGGATACCACATTGGCTACTTCAATATAACTTTTTTTAAAAAATTGGAGAACACACTACTAGCAGAGGTAGAAAGAGGAAAAACATCAGGTGAGACACAAGATTTGCCCACACTGGAAGAATGGCAAACGCAACTGATAGACTACATGGAGCTGGCCGAGATGACTGGCAGAATTCGAGACCTGGGAAAAGAGGAGGTGGAAGAGGACTGGAAGAAGTTTAAAGACTATTTACAAAAACTATATAAATTGTATGAATGTTAAGAAGGTGCATGAAAGGAAAGATTATGGCAACAGCAGCTTAGATGAGATATGTATGAGAATAAGCTGAAATACAAAGATAAGTTTTGATGAGATCTGAAGTAAAGTTATGCCTAAATTAAGCAGTTAAATATTTGATGGAATTAGTTAAAACCAGAGGCATAACATATTAGAATTAGAATGTAAGATCTGAAAGAAGGTAATAAATTGCTGAACATAACTTTTATATTGAGAACGCAGGAAAGGGAAACGTGAGGAAGTCCAGATGGTTATGGAACATATGTATGAAAAACTGTGTTTTTCTGTTTTTCTTTTCTCTTTTTATATATAGTTGATAGTTATGTCTTGTATGTTTGACATATGCTTGGTTATTTCCTTTTCTCTGAAAACTTAATAAAATATTATTAAAAAAAGAAAAAGAAAAACATCAGGTGCTTGAAATAAGATTTATTCTAGGCCTGACTTATTTTGGAATAAATCCTTCATGTTTTTAGCCCAAGGAAGGATTTGTTCCCAAAAAAACACACATGTGGGCTGAAATATATCTTATTTCAAAAACATGAAGCACCCTCCCCTTTTTTTCTTTTCTTTTCTTTTCTTTTCTTTTCTTTTCTTTTCTTTTCTTTTCTTTTCTTTTCTTTTCTTACCTGCATAAGTACCAGCTGAGCATAAACACTTCATGCATTTTGCAGAGTTGGTTGTATCCTACAAAAGCTCATACATACTACAGGAATGTCTTGCTTACCCTTTAAGTTGCTACCCGATGCTTTGTTGATTGTTCTTGTTAGTGCCTTCTGGAATTCTGCCAGTAAGGCGACTGGAAACTGAACTGTGAAAGGTTCCTGGGCGCACGGCCTGTAATTTTATACTACCAACTTTTATTCCAGCTTTAATTAAAATGTACTGAGTGTTCCCATATATAGGACACTCCCGTGGTGAAGTGCCCCTTATTTTTGAAATTGATGGAGAGGGGCTAAGGTTGTGTGGTGCTTTAATTTCCTCTTGGATGGATGAAAGGCATGCGCCTTTTTCTCCTTTAAAGGCGCGGCGCGGGGAGGGAGCAGCGGGAGACCGGCAGCCAGCCACCTTCCCTCACCCACCCAATTCAGCAAGCGATGGCACGCAACAAACCTCTTCCCTCCTCCTCCGTTTACACGGGAACCACCGCTCCGCTCCGGGCCATTGATCCGCCCACGTGCGCAAGCGGCGCTCCCTGGGACAAGCCGGGGAGAGCGGCTCCGGCGCCGCGATGCTGCCTCCAGGTGGGGGCGCTTCCCCGCAGAGGCTCGGCCCCTTTTCTGGGCCGGCCTGGGCAGCTCCGTTCCCCCGCTTCCGAGCTTCTGGGCCAGCAGCCGGCAGCGCCAGAGCCATTTTGCCCTCCCGCTCGGCAACATGGACTACCGGGAGGCCGCCAGCTGGGCTGCGGAGCGCATGCAGAGCTATCGCAAAGACTGCAGCGGATGGCGCAGCTGCAAGCGCACGGTGAGGCCCGCGCGGCGCGCTTGGAGAGGTTGCCCCCCTTCTCACCGCTGCAGCCTGGCTGAGAGGGGGTAAAATCCTGGTGACTCTCCTTTTGAAGCAGAGGTTGGATGGCCATCTGTCATGGGTGCCTAGTTGATATTCCTGCATTGCGCGCGCAGGGGAAGGGGGGGTTAGACTAGATGACTCGTGGGGTCCCTTCCACTCTACAATTCTAGGATTGTACCGCTTAT